CAATAAATGGGAACTAAAAGAATAATTTTATTTGAACTGATATTAATATATGTGTAAAACTTGGGCACTGTGGTAGTAAATAATTCCATATACCATATCAAGCCTCAGATATGCTCAAAAATCGTCTTTCTAAAGCAATGAGTAAGACGTTATTGTCAGCAGAACTACGAATGACTTTCACCAGCCGCAAGTTGTTCTCTACCTCTGTAAAAGATAAGGTCCCCCATCTGGCCGCCTCCATGTGCATCTATCAGTTCACCTGCTCTTGTGGAGCAAGGTACATTGGCCGTAGTCAGAGGACGCTTTCCACACGGATACGAGAACATATCCCAGCGTGGTTTTACAAGGGAGAAAGGAAGTGTGTGCGAAGCTCTATTTTGGAACACCTGATCGACTTCTGTCACTCTGTCAACCCTGACCATGATTTTAAGATCATATATAGAATCCATGCTAACTTCCTGCGTTTTATTCGTTACAGACTTCTAAAGACAGCTGAGGCCTTGGCAATTCATGAATTTAAGCCAGACCTTTGTGTACAAAAGAAGTATGTACAATCCCTACTTCTGCCTTGGCCGTAGAGGAATAGACATTTATTTATTTTGTTTATTTAGTTATTCTATGTACTCTTCCCTTATTACTACGATTATTATTATTATCACTATTATTCTTACTATTCTCACTCTGAATCTTTTTCACTTGACCCACTTGACATTTTAAACCCAAAATTATTGGTTTTTATATTTTTATTTTTACAATATTTAATTCTATCTTATCAAATTTCACACCATGTTATGTAACATTTTATATTCGTCTACTAATCTTATAATTATGTGCCCCTTTCCAAGATTCTATACACCTTATGTATTATTCTATATACGACATTAATTATTTTGCCACTTGACAGTAAACTATGATTATAATCACAAATATTTTAATTGCATTTCATACCACTATTATTATTTCATGTATTCACACCTTTGACCTAATTCCCTCACCGGATATAATTTTTATAAAAAAACCCATATATATGCGATTGTACAGCTTGATGATAAATTCGTTGAAAAGAGTCTCTTCGCTGAATATTGTGTTCCTTATTCCATATTAGTTTGTTTATTAGAAATATCACACAGTAAAACAGTATTATTTACTGTAAATAATACTGTTTCACTATGTTACATATCTAATAAACTAACTAATATTGGACTGATCTTATTCTTATGCTTTCTTGAGTTCCTAGGGAAACATAGGACTTCAGCCACACGTCTCCATTGTGTTCGGTTCCCTGACAACGTTTCCACCTGGCTTTCATCTCCTATTCACATGACCTCCACCATGTCACCCTCACACTGACGACCAACTCGCCGCTTCCCGTTAAGGTTCCGGTCGAGAGCCTTTCGTGTGATGCCACTTGATTATTTGTTTTCTCAGAGTATGGCCAATCCACTTCCATTTCTTCCTGCTTATTTGTTGCACAGTTGGTTCCTGCTGGGTTGGTTCGCTCATTGTTAGAGATTCCTGTTGCTGATCTTTTCTGGCCGGCCATCTGATGTTGAGTATTGAACGAAGACAGCTGTTGATGAAGGTCTGTAGTATTTGAACTGATATAAATGAGAAAACTTAGAATTGGAATAGAGGGTTTGAAAAGACAAGAAAATATGCTAAGGGCGGAGACGGTGATTATGATCTCGTTTCTATTAGGAGAAATTCAAATTCAATAACCTTTACTCTCTAGTTTTGAGTGTTAATCAAAATACTGTTAGTTATCTACACTGTTTATTCACACGGCCGAATACCTGAGTACATGCTGTAGTCAGCCTTCTTCAAATGTTAGAAGTTGATGGACAATCATTAGGAATTTATTGATGTTCAGTATTGATTTGACTCAACACAGCGTATTTCCAGCCTGTTTCCATTCTTAATCCCTTCAAATGCTTGCGAATCTAAACAGTAAAGATTTTTAATGTCTTTACTGCTACTTTTCAAATGCAATCGTTTTTTCATACGAAACTCTTTATTTTGGTTAATAACATTCAACTTTTCGGAAAACTCAGTTACTCTTTTATTACAAAACATAAGCAGGTTCAAAGATGTGCAGAGAATTATGACGTCAATTATGTTTTACAATCTCGAAAATGTATTCCAGATTCTGAAATTCTCACTTCTACAAAACTGTGTGTACTTTTGTCACACTATTTTTCTTCGCCATTATTTTATGTGTGATTTTCAGAAGCATTGAAGCCTGAGCTGAAGCACGCATGTGTGAAGATGTTCATTGATCCAACTGTTATTCATTCCTTCAATCAATTACGGCTAAAGTGGTGTGAAACCTCTTTTAAAGCGTCTGGCTTCAGTTCGCGTAAGAGCAGTAAATTACCCACATGATGGCCACAATGGTGATGTGGATCGAAGTTATCCTAGTAAAATAGCCTGAAATGTTACAGTTTTCACCATAAAAATCACATTTCTCGTGATGTAGTCTAGTATTTTCCTACTGCGCGTCGGTGGCACAGTGGTTAGGACTCTCGTCGACCATGCGCATGGTCCGGGGTTCAATCCCCTGCCGACGCACACCTGATATCTATGGTCGACCTTCGAAATTTGGGCTACCAATATCACATGCTGAAAATTCCATACCTGTGCCAAAAAATACGGTGTGGAATCAAGCTGTAATCAAAAATAAAAATAAAATAAAATCTGATGACCAAACTACATTACCAAGAATGTCTTATTACTGTTTTTGAAGAAACTAAATCTGTTGATTTAGACAGAATAACGAGTAAGAAATAAAGCACTATAACGGAGTATCCTAAAAACAGTCAGATTAATTTAATCTTAGGGACAACTTATTGGGTTATGCATTTTTTTTAGCACAGATAATTCTTCATAATTTTTTCTACATACACAGTGTCACCTGACAAATATCCTTTTACGAGCATCTTTCTTGAGCCTGCATACATCAAATAAACTGCTAGTATGATAAAATCACTATTACATAAGACGATGTGTGAAATACATTCAAAGTACAGAATCGCTTTTGAGCGCAACATGGATTTAAACTTCAGATACCTTCAGATGTAATGATAGAATGTGAGCACTCTGATAGAGCATAAGTGTATCATAGAACCAACGAATAAGAAACAATGGAACCACACAAAAAGTCCTACAAGTGCATTTATATTTCTTTTTCTTCACGTTGCCGAGTGGAACATAGGGCTTGAAGTTTCTGTGGCAGTGTTTATTTTTACAGGATGAGGTTGCTAGCCTCATGCCCAACCTTTCCTCTTCACCAGCATTATTTCTGGCTTAGTGAGATAAAGGAGTGCGTCGGCCGGATATCGAACCCTGGACCATGTGCATGGTCGGCGAGTGTCATAACCGCTATGCTACCGACGCGAGTGCATTTATATGACTGTGATCAATAAATTATGCTTGAAACATCATCAAAAAATAGTGCTGTGTTTCTTTGAGATAAAATTATTCAATAATAGAGATCCCAACGTTTACGTACGATACAACTTAAAGATTGCAATCGATGAAGAGGTTGTCAAATTTGCACACAGACGGATCCACTCTTTAAGTGAAAAGTCGTGCATATATTTTAACTTCTGACATTGTTTTAAAGTCCGATGTCACGTCCGCCGTATAAACGGAATTTTGTCATAAAACAATCACTGGAAAAACTACATTTGTCTTCAAAACCCACTCATTTCTTATCGCAGTATTAAGCTGCATTCACGATAACACAGTTTTGATGTTCTGTGTTGGCTGAAATCCTCTAACACCTATAAAAATATTTATCAATTTCATCTATCTGACGGTGGCTAGCAGTGGAATGGAATTCATGCTTTGTGCATTTCGTCCTATTGGGACTTACCAGCTTTACTTACCTACGTCGTTAGCATAGTGGTACACTCACTGAGCCTAAAACACGGCACTAAACTGCTAGCCCACGCAAGCTATTTTGTTGTGCATATGAAGTTAAACTTTATCGATTTTGCTTTTTAATTACACCAGATTAGTTTAAGTTATGTGCAACATTCAATGTTACTCCCACGACTTTATGTGGGTCAGTCAAAGATGTTATTAAAAAATACACACAGTCCTCAGTATTTATCGTTTTTCTGTCACTTCTATGTCACAGATATATATTTCATTCTGTTGATAGCACCTATGGAGGTGTTATTTACAAAATGCACAGAATTCTTTTTTCATGAAAATAAATCAAAACTATTTCATTCAAGTCCTGATCATGTGTATGTATTTCAGTTGGTGTTATTGTTACAATTGTGCTAATTCTTGCATTTAATAAGTAATTATTTGTGCTCACTCAGTGTACACATATATTTGTGAATGTGTATGTGTAATTGTGAGTGTGCCACTCTCTCCTAACGGCAGTATGCTTATTGATACGTGTGTTTGTGTGTGTTATTGTACTGCTGAGCATAAACCCAGTGGGATTATGATAGCAATCCTTACAAACTTATATTAGTAATAATAATGATAATAATGACAATTCCAGTAATGTTAATGATGACAATAATAAGAATAATAATGACCCTTGTGTGTCATAACTCTGTGTAATGAACTGTCAAGTGAAATGCTTTGCACAGTATGCAATAATCATCATCACCAACAGCATTATCATCATCATCATCATCCTCGTTACCACCAACAGCAACAGCACTGTACAACAAAATTTATTATCTCTATAATTATTTATAACATACTACTGTGTGTGGTTGATTTTTATACGATGTAGTTTCATATTTTCAATTGTTTCAATTAATGCATGACAGTAGGTATGATCAAAGTTTTTATTTTCCTAGTTATACCAATAGGAATGAATGTATATAATAATTTCAGTCACGTGGATTACACTGCTCAATTGTGTATTGGTAATAGTAATAATAATAATAATGTGAATAACAGTAAAATAGTATTGGTAGATTAGGATAGTAACCTTAATGTAAAGCATAAGACTTGTGCTATTTAAGTAGAAGCTTGAGATTAATTCATCACATTTTTTATTATTCTTGTACAGTGAAAAGAACACGCACCGTCCGTTTAAATCTGTTCTCTTCGAATAATTGTCATCAGACACAGCCTTGACTTGCTTTACTTTACTGAAGACAATTGATAATAATAATAATACGAAAAAATGATTGACGAACGCTTTAATGAACAAGCTCTAAGGGAACATAATAGGTAAGTATGTATTCTTTATACCTATAATTTATTATAATGTTATTAAGCTGGGATAAATATATATGTATATATATTCGTATCCACAAATATGTACTCTCTTTTTAAACTATGCTTTGCAATAAGGGATATCAACGGACAAGAGTTATTTAAATATCTATATAGAAGAGAGAAACTAAAGCTCGTATGTTTTATCTGCTATTCGAACTTAGTCTAGCAAGTAGGTTTGATTGAGTTTACGAGATGTATGCCTTTAATTGATGACTGATAATGTAAAATGAATGGAAATGACTGATAACTACCAACAACGAAGTAAATCTTGTCCATGTATACGTTACAGCATTTCAAAAAAGCAGACTAACACAATATATGTAGAATTCATTCTACTGACATAATTTAGAACAACACATTTAAGCGAACAGTATTGTTTTCAATTAGATCTCATCAGGCTTAACTCTAATATGCATAAGTTTACAAATAAAAATTCAAATATAAACCAATCATGGTGTTTTGTCTATAGGATAATACGATGGTGAATATAAATTGTGCAATCAGTCATAATAATATTAATGATAATAATAATGGTCTTATCAATAATAAGGATGAAAAAGTGAAGCAATCTGTGATAACACGAATAATGAAAAAAACAGTATGATTAAACAAACAACTATTCAGGTGGAAGTAGTCGATAAAGGCTAGTAAAAACAAATGAACCGATTAAGTAATGTTAGATTGTAAGGGAAGGAAATGAAACACGTTTATAATGAAGATGTGATAAGATTAAGGGATGATAAGAAAGGGGTTGAAAATATAAACAAGGGGTGGTGTAGAAGTCATTAGTTGGTTATGTCTTAATAGGTCAAGGGAGGGATAATGGCTGTACGAACTTCTTTTGAATACACAGTTTAGGTTTAATAGTTCGAATGCCTATCGCCTCAGCTGTGTGCAGTAGGCGAATACGAAGTCTATTGGAAAGATTCGGTGGAATACGATGAATTGGTTTGAAGGCTCTCGTTTTCTCGATTACACGACCACTATCAATTAAGTGTGACTAAATTGAGCTACGAATTGTTTTTGTTTGTCCGTTGTCAAACCACGATGGGAGATGTTCACGAACACGTTGGCTGGCTGGGCTCTCTAGTAGTACACCCAACATAACTGTCACCGCAGGTGCAGTTGAATTGATAAATGCACATAGATGGGGCAAAACTATATAGCTATCAATCCTTCGTTTGCGTCCCAATTATTCGTCGTCTGGAGAATGACAAACATAGGTGTGCTGCGTATAACCTTCTTCATATACTCTTGGAAAGTCCTTGGAATAGAATCTCACTTGATAAGTCACCATTAAATTGTAACTTATTAAATAGAGGTTTCTTACGTGCAGTCAGAGTCTATGGTTTTTTCTCCGATGTTTTCATATGTTTCTTTATGAAACTACTCCATCAAGGAATCGTGAATATATTCAAATTCCATTTGTAAGAGGTCATCCGTACATATCTTTCTTGGTGTGCTCGCAAGACATTTTGCAACAATTTTTTTATATTTAATGGGCACGTAACTGAGGAAGTGTGTGTATTGCTCTGTGAATGTGCTTTTTCTATACACGCTTCTCCCAAGTGACCCATCTTCTCTCCTACTTAGGAAGATGCTAAAAAAGACACTTTGAGATATTTTATTAACATAAGTCAACCGAAACCCGAAGGTTGGGTAGCTAAAATCCAAAAAATCAAAAGGTTTTTGATTGCCTGTGTTTTGGAAATCGTTAGCCATCCGATTCTAACTGAGTCACTATAAGACAAAATCAGTGTAAATAAGCAATAATTAGGTGATGAGATATTTAAAGAGGTTTATACAGTAATCTGAAGATCTGCAAAAATCAGGATACTTGAAAGAGTGGAATCTAAATTCCCAAGCACTCAAGGAGAGAGAGTGGTTTTGCCAGGCTGTTTCAGTGTATTGGATAGGATGTGCCTCAGTCCAGTTAGTTAGTATCTATCATTTGAATAATACGGTCAAATACTCGATAACTTTATATGCAATTACCCATTTTAACCTGACTGCTCTATTAGATTACTATACTTAATAATATTATCTCCTCAGCTGAGGACAGACATACTTAAGAAAACAAAGTGGAACAGGAATAATTCACATTTAAAATGATTGGCTATTACCTATGGAATTGTTTTCCTCTTTAAATGGCTCTCTGACATCCACCTGAGCTAAAAATATTCTCTATTATTTCAAGACTACATTAATAGTCAAAGTAGAGATAGTTCACCCATTGATTGTTTGTGTAAACCGGTAATAAGTAAATTTAGGAAAGATAACTGGGAAAGCTACCTGTCCTTCAGCCATTCGGAGTTTTATTTTATGTTCATCAATCATCATACTACTGATAAATATACACAAATAATCTCAGCTTTACGTGCCACGCAGTAAAATAGTATTATTCAATAGACACAATTTACTAAAATCGTTTTATAGCTATGAGAACAATCAGCAAGAATAGTTAAGATGAGACACGAGCAAGAAACGTGTGGATAATTATTGATAATATTACTAAAAATAAATGCATAATGCTGTCACATCAAGGGATAGAAATTGATATTGAATTGTCGTGACAATATTCACAGGAAACTAGCGTCAAATAAAAGGTCTTACCAAATCTACTTACTATACGAGGAAACAGTCTAGCAGGTAGCTAAGAGCCTGTAAAGTATCAGGCTTCAAGTCAGAAAGTGTTCAGTTCTTTCTATTTTTGTAATCAGTAACGGTGATGGCGTTTACCTCGTCAGCATAGGTATTCCATGATCACATGTGAGGTCAGATAAACCGGCGTCGAAGTGTTTACTTTGTAGCTGAGATCAAACACACTATAATGACTAGTCCTTGCACAGTTGCAGAATCTCATCAACAAGAAAGAAAGAGAAAGAATGTTCACCAGTCACAGAGAGGATTCACAGCTGTTAATTTTCAACTACATTTTCCTGTAAACTGCGTCAAAGATATTTGTAAAAATTATATTTGTAAAGTCTCAGCGAGATTGAAATGAGTAATTCCAACATTTCGTTCGGCAATCTGGTCCGAACTTCTTCAGGGAAATTAATCGAAATTAACATAACAGAGGTTTATATATAAAAAGGAACATCACTTGTTTTTGAAAATTTGTCCAATCATGAGTCATTCAAAAAGTATCAACAAGTATAATAAACAAAATTTTATCAGCTGTGATCAAAATTTGACCTCGGACTTACAAATATTGGTCTACCTTTGTTAAACACTTTAAACAGTGTGTATGTGTGTGTGGGTAAACAGTTGTAAAACACTTCTTAACGTTTCCATAAGAAGATATGGACAGTCGAGAATTTTGACCAAGTATTAATAATTAGTGATACATATCCATTTTTATTTATTAATAAGGATTTCCTATGCATCAGCTAACATCACGCCTTCATGTCCGTTCAAACTGTTAGTATCTAGGATTTTATGATTAGACGTATTTTCAAAATTATGGTGTTTAGGATTAGCGTTTAGTAGAAGCACCCTGTCAGACTTATTGCTTCGCCTTCTTTCTGAAGATTGAGCTGCTTTATTCGACCTACTGGAGTTGTCAGGTGACTCGACAGCTACGGATTTAGGATATACATTCTGTTGCAGACAACGGAGAGTGAAAACACGATGATTGTGCCAGTTACACAGTTTCTTTGTTAATTTACTTCGATTGCAAAATAATTCAAATGAACTGTCGTCAAGATTTGACAGAATAGTTCTAAAATATTTGGGCGCCGAGTGAGATGTTAAAAAAGAACACTTTGTGATATTTCATTTAATAAACTTCTAGTATTTGGACAATATTGTTGCCTCTATGAAACTAACGTTCTACACGAGAAAGTGCTTCACCTTCTGAGGATATGTATAGGAATGTTCCAGACCTAGGTGACATGTTTCCAAAACAAACATTCGGCTTGCTTAAACTTTGATTGTTTCATCTCTTTTCATTTGTCTTCCCTTGAAGACTTTGTCTCTTGCTTTCCTGTGACTGTGTACATCAATGTAAGACAGAACTTCATTCTTTGCTAGCCGAAGGGTATTTTCTTTGAGTAGACTTTCAACCTATGCTTTTTTTAAACTTACTGACTTCCTTGTTACTTTTCAATTATTTTAAGATATTTGTGTGATTTGACGTAAAGTTTTTGCGTATATTCTGTTTAGTGAAACAGCTAAATGTCCCATTTCTGTTGATATGGTCATTTTACAGGGCGGTTTATCGTTTCTGTATCGGCCACCTTCTGATTAGTTGTTTATGCATCTTGCTTCGCACTTCACGACACCATTCGTAACTGTTTAACATTAGTTAATATAAGCCATTCACTATAAACTCAAGGATCGTAGAATCAAAAAGAACGTATAATACAATATCTTTTGATCATTTTGTCAGCTTACGCTTTATATTCCAATCGACAGTATCAAAATTTGCATTTACCTTAGTGATTAGCTGGTCTAGTTCTAAGAAAGAAAGTGAAATATTCAAGGGTTGTAAGATACAGTCAACCCATACAATTGGTTAATAATTGTCACATTATTTCTCCCTGATAAACCCTCAGTAGAACTGAAAGTCAATTATTGAATACCGTTACGTGAGAAGACTTTACTAATAAAAAGTCTTTGACTTCATCCATGAATGGTGGATTTTCACTTTCTCAAGAGAGAAAAAACACAAGATTTTTTCCCAGTTAGTGTAACCAATCTTTAGTGAGATACCTCATCCTGAAGTAAAGTATGAGAAAACAACAAAATGATATACCATCTGCGATTATCGGCAATAGTAGTCCAAAGAACCTGAATATCTCTGCACAGATTATGCAATGGCCCTCTATCATTTCAGAAGCTTTTTACTAGGACATAGTATACTTTGTGAAACGACTATGCTTCTTGGTTCTCTGTTAATTTAGCAATTACCGATGTGTACCGATAGTGCGTCGGTGGTACAGCGTTAGGATGCTCGCCGACCATGCACATGGTCCGGGGTTCGATCCCCGGTCGACGCACTCCTTCACCTCGCTAAGCCAGAAATAAAAGCTGGTGAAGAGGAAAGGTTGGGAATGTGGCTAGCAACCCCATCCTGTAAAAATAAACACTGCTACAGAAACTTCAAGCCACTAGCTTGAAGCCCTATGTACCACTGGGAACGTCAAGGAATAATAAAAAAGGATGTGTAACCTGATTACTGTAACTGCTACACAACAACATCTTTCAGAATCAGTACAAATGTTCCAAACGTGTAAGCTTAGACTACTACCTTCGTCTTCTAGTTTATATTCAGGTTTTTTTCTAATGTGGAAAAACTCTACGCACATAATCATCACCATGATTTAATGCTAATATATATTATGAACTGTAGTACTACTGTATTGATTGAATATGTTCCTTTATTCTACATTATTTATCAGACTTCGAGCGCTGCATGGATGCCCAGAACTTCAGCTAGATAATGAATTGATGTATTCAGCACAGAAATGGGCTGAAACTTTAGCACAAGCTGAGAAATTATATCATAGTAATCACAATGCATACGGTGAAAATTTGGCGTTTAAAATGTCTGCAGCCCCATGCATAATAACAGGTAATGCCATATATATAATGAACAGTTATTTTTCTTAAAAGAATTTACTGTTGTTCAGTTGTATTTAGCGTCCTGGTTTGTATTAGCGAATATCAATCATCCAGTGAACATTAATGTTACTTTGGTTGGACACTAACTGGTTCTGTCATTCTGGACACTTGTAAGTGTCCAATTAAAGTATCTAATACAGTTCTCAAGGAATTACACGGCGAGCTCGAATATCTCAGATGTAACGTCTCTGACTGCAACACTGCATTGGGTGGCGCGGGTTCGAATCTCAGAAAGGACAAGATTGCATATAGGCCTTCTTGACTAGTGAGTGCCAACTAGCACGAAACCTAGATCAGGCAAGACTTGCTGTGGCCGACTGCCCCCAACCATCCAATAAGAACACTAATGTTCGATGGACTTAACAAATATTCTAAATATCCTATGATATATATGCACATTAAATACATTCCGCATTAACGACTGCAATTCAAGGGCGATATACCTAGAGAAATAATTACGAAGAAATTAAGAAAATCAGTTCAAAGCACTTTTAATGCTGGCAAACTACACGTCTTATTTTCTACACGATCGACTGAAAGATGAAGTACCTAGACTAGCCACTTTCAATCGTATCTGCCAATTAAACTGAGCTTGTGGAGCGAGTTATATTGGCCGTTGCCCTCGGAACTTTATTTTTCGTGCTCACTTGGCAGCATCTTCCAGTATGGCTAAGTAAAGGTGTAGTGGGAACCATCAACAGCTTGATATTAGACCACCTGGTCCAAACCGACCACAAAGCCAACATTAACGAATCCTTCTCTATCATCATCTACCGGGTTCCAAATAAACTGCCAAAAACATTGAGGTACCGTATGCTCCAAATAGCAGAGGCTATCGCGACTCGCGTGAAACAACCGGTGTTCTGTGTGTGCAGAAGAAGCAAGTCCAGCCACTACTACTGCCCTGGCCGGTGTTCAGCGGAGCCTTTAAATTCATAAATTTGTATTATTATCTTTCCTGATGTTTCTGACATTTGGTTTATTGTTATGTTGATGCTATCATACTGTAATCCACTGATATTATCACTACTGATTTGATGTTATTTAAACAACATTTATGTTGTTCATAACACCAATTCATTCATTCACTATAATGTATAGATAACTGTAGAACCTGATGATGAAGAGGTTATCGAAAAGGGTATTCTTTGTTCAGTAATCATTCTTTTGAAAGTGAATTAGCCATTGATTGGTGATCACTGAAACTTTCACTTCGTCATTGCATAGTTACACTGTGTTATGAGCAGTCACTGTCATTAATGTTGTAAACTACATTCAAATATTATATGCATACATATACCTCACTCGAAAATGATGCCTCACGTTTTTGACAATTTAGCTTGTGTATGACATGCATTTATTTATACAATCTTTTAAATGACAAACTAACAAGGCTGCTAAAAGAAATAAAAATAATCCTTAAGTAAGAAAACGTTTCTCTCTTTTTTCTTATGGCTTTTAATGAGAGCATGATGTTGTTCTGTGAAGAGTGTTCACTCATTCACTCATCTGATGCTGACCTCAGCGTCAAAAATATACGTTAAATTCACATAATAAGTAGGTTACATATCTTTAACAAATGCAGCTAATTGGAAAATGCTGTCATTCATTTTTACTGAGTAATTGAATTAATTAGTACTACTTATTAGGACAATTACAAAAATTGACATAGAAAAAAGGTATTTCATATACTACTGATTATTTGACTGGTATGAAATCCATCAGAATAATAAGCAAATAATATACTGGCAATAATAACGTCCACCTAAATACCTATCGATGCAAGTAATCAACCTCAGAAATGGTAAAATTGATAGAGAAACGTCTTCATAATAAATTATAATAATTATTATTATTGTTCCCTTGGGTTCCTAGTGGAACATAAGGTTTCAACTGCATGCCTTCTGTCTTCTGCTGTACTTTTCACCTGCATCCATGTTAGTCCATACTGTTTCAACTCCTCATCACACGATCTCCTCCATGTCACTCTTGGACGTCCCACTCGCCACTTCCCTTTCGGGTTCCACTCGAGCACTGGCCTGACGCGTGATATCACCCAGTGGTCTCCTCAGCGAGTGTCCAATCCATCTCCATTTTCTCCTGCATATTTGTTGGGCGATTGATTCTTGTTTTGTTTGTTCCCGTAGTTTCTTGTTTGTGATTCTTTCCGGTCATCTGATCTTGAGTATAGAGCGAAGACAGTTGTTGATAAATGTCAGCAACAGGCTGTTGGAAATATTCTTTGTGACCCACCGCCAAGTTTCTGATCCATCCGTATAGAAGAAGTGGCTTGACGTTTGTATTGGAAATCATAATAAGTACCACAATGTAATCTGAAAACCAAATTCAACCATGAAATCCTGAAGACAGACTCATCTGTGTTTCATGAATAATTCGAATTCTTTACTTATATAACCAATCATATCTCGAATAATTTGTTTGGAAATGAAATTAATGACTGAAGTTAGCAAAACGAAATTTCGCCTAATTATTTTAGAGATTTGAAACAAAAATGATCAGTCTGTTGTTATCCAACATTTATGCACCAATGTACCAGGAGTGTGAAGACTAAACCACCATTTTTAATAGAAATGTCTTCACCAACCTAGTGATCAGTAAAGTACCTGGATAGCAGTATGGTGAAACAATCACTCATTGCTTCCATTTCGTTCCCAACACGAAATAACTAGGAAGTGAGGTGACCAAGAAGTAAAAGAGCAAACTATGCAAGAAATGAACAGTTCAATCGGTGGCATAGCGGTTAGGACGCTCGCCAACCATGTACATGGTCCGGGGTTCGATTCCCGGCTGACGCACTCCTTCACCTCGCTAAGCCAGAAATAAAAGCTGGTAAAGATAAAAGGTTGGGCATGTGGCTAGCAACCCCATCCTGTAAAAATAAACACTGCTACAGAAACTTCAAGTCACTAGCTTGAAGCCCTATGTTCCACTGGGAACGTGAAGGAATAAAAGAAAGAGGAACTAATATAGTATAGTAGACTTTTTTCGCCTGAAAGAGAAAGTAATCGACAAATAGCACATTTATTCAAAGCCATTAGTCAACCAAATATCAAATATGTGTCATAGAAAATTATTGCTGACTGACTGATTGACTGATTGACGGGAAAACGAGGAACTGTGCATCAATTCATGGTGTAACATTTCAAAATAGCATACATAAATTGGGAGTTATACAAATGTGATTTAAGTCAGATAGGCGTTATATAAGTGAGAGAGAGAGAGAGTAACTGAACAAAGATGAGTAAACATTTTTAGAATCACAAAGGTGAAAGAAGAGAGAATCAGTCTGCTCTGTGATAAACAATTTTGATCTGTGCCATAAAGATTATAAGAAACCATTATTTCTTGGTCTCCAAAGGACACCTTTGTATGTCAATGGCTGAATGGATCAGAGCATTGTTTTTGTCTTGACACTAAAACGTTTCCATTCCAACCTTACTTTATTCAACATTACTTGATTTTGCATGTGTAGCTCGTTTAATGACGAAGTCAGTTAACGAGGCTTCAAAACCTAAAGGATTAAATTTACAAGACTATCTTATGCTCTTAAATGGGAGAAATCTGAAAGAAGAAACCTCCTTTACATACCCACATACCTGGGAAGCATTCTCTCAACTACACGCAGAACTGTGCAGGTCAACAGCACACAGCATCAAAAATAAGATCCCGATTTCCAAATCCAATGTGAAGTCAGTGCTACTTTGTGGATCAGAGACTTGGCGCGTCATGGAAAGTACTTCAAAAAAACTACAGACCTTCATCAATAGTTGTCTTCGCTCAATACTCAAGATCAGATGGCCAGCCGGCCAGAAAAGATCAGCAACAGAGATCTCTGGGAGCAGACCAACCAGGAACCGATTGTGCAACAAATGTGCCGGAAGAAGTGGAGGTGGATTGGCTGACCATACTCTGAGGAAACCATCGAGTGACACCACAAGACAGGCCATCGCTCGAGTGGAACCCGAAAGGGAAGTGGCGAGTTGGTCGTCAGTGCGACGGTGACATGGAGGAGGTCATGTGAAGAGAAGATGAGAGCATGTGGGTTGATATGGAGCCAGGTGAAAACGTTGGCAGAGAACCAAACGCAATGGAGACGTGTGGCTGAAGCCGTACGTTCTTTTAGGAACTAAAGGAAACAATAATAATAAACAATATTCTTATACTCTACAACTAACTTTATTTCGCTGCATACTGTTTCATTGAACTTGAGCAACTGAACAAAGAAACTAGTGGTTAAAAACGCCAATTTGTGTCATCTTTTTTCTATCCTGAGCCTTGAATTAGGAGTACAAGAACTCCAGAACAGTACATGCATCTTAATTATACCACACAAATATCAAACATAATGCAAGTGGCCGAGTGTCAAAATGGTCTTAAGTTTGACAAAACATCCCAAATAATTGAAATGAACATCACATTCAGCCACTCCAGCTCTTGTCTTCAAGATTGGGGATAAAGATGCATATTACTTTCAATTATTACTGTGTATACTCAGTTTTATCATCAGTACATTGAGTATTATGAGATTCATTGAAAAAAAGTTATCATCAAGGTGGTCTATAACCCTGTTTTTGAAGTTACTTATGTTTAAAAATTTCCATAAATTAGGAAATTGCTAGGAAAAAGGGATTCATCTTGTTTAGGACTATTCATCCACTTACGATATGCATATTCAAATCAGCAAGTTTCCTTATTTGGGGTCCTAAATCCGAATCTCATCAACCTGCTGTAGTGATTGGTCACCATTTTTTTATTTCAATGCCGGATGCTGATGACCACTGAGAACCGGACCAATCCTTTAAAAGTATATGTTTTCATTTTTACACTCATGAAAGTATGCACCATTACAAAATCCCTAGATAATTACTGAGTCGTTTAAACCTTTAAAGTGGGTTCCTGTTTGCAATGGGTGAAAGATACCTTACCTAGTTGACTATATTGTCCTTTGTTTATTAGGCATGGAATGGGACTAGAAATAAAATGAAATTTTAACCTTTTGTAATGTTACTGTTATATTGCATATATCTCAAAAAAAATATTCCAATTAAATTTACAGGGGATGAGGTTAGTCAGACATGGTACAGCGAAATTGAATATCATGATTTCAGTCAGTGTTATCATTCCAATACACGTGAGTTGTTCAAATGAACAAGAAGTATTTTATATATATATATATATATTTATAACTTGGAAACTGTGGTAATATGCAATTTCACATGTATTTATTTATTATATATACCGCACAATGAAAGAGTAATAATAACGACAAATATGATAGTCATCCTCAGAATGATGACAGCATCAACAGTAAGGAATTTATTATTATCAGTAGTACTTCCATACAAAGAAGGAACCTTGGAAACCTTGCGGATAAAAGCGGCATTCAAACCCACCAACTCACTCAGAAACAAACTTTGTTGGTTAAAGGATCCTGTGGAGACCATTAAACAAAAGAGTTTAGTTTATCTAATACAAAATAAGATAAGAAATCTGGAAATTAGTTCAGCTATGGCACACACTACATGCAGTCACACACAACTATACAATAGGATGGGATAAGATGACAGTTCTAAAATCTAGTATATCAGGGTGGAGGGAAAGAGTGATAATAACAGAAGCTTTATTCATCGAATCAACTGAAAGTAAGTGTAATGGGGATGATTCAACACTTGCCCATCCGGACATCTGGAAAATTCTACTACCCTTAAGATGGATAGGAAGGAATACAGAAAGTCATAAAACAAAAGTCTTGAAGTTGTGTAGTTAAAAGTGATGATATGAATATGAACAATAAATTGTTTTCGAAATGTCATCCAGTAAATAATACTGTTTCATTGTTTGATGTATACCTAATAAACAAATTAATGCGCGGATTATTTGTGTCAATATCCATCATGAGTGATAAAGTATTCATATCTTCGTAGAAATTATACTTGTGAAAACTTAGCGAAATAAAAATGAGTAATTCCAACGTTTCCTACGTTCGGCAAACTGGTCCAAACTTCTTCAGGGAATCATGTTAATTTTGATTAATTTCCCTGAACAAGTTCAGACCAGTTTACCGAACGTAGGAAGCGTTGGAATTTCTCATTTCAATTTCACTGAGATTTTCCAAAAAATAATTTTTACAAATGTCTACTTCTCATTCGGCGCCCAATTATTTTGGAATTATTGGGTCAAATCTTGATCACAATTCATAAGAATCATCCATATCTTCTATGATTCATTTCCAACATTTAGATAACACATAAACAGTGTTATCTAGACTTGACTGCACTTACAGATCTGTCGATACAGTGTTCACCTTGACCGCCTACCAAACAAGGCGATACATTACAGTACAGGCTTTGTGTGACCCGTTTTCCCAAGACGCCACACAGCATTTCGTCAATGAACGCACAAATATCAGGATAACACAAACTGATGAGAGATTTATTTTAAAGCGTTTATCCCTATTTGTATGACTATTGAAATATGTCTATTTTTACGAGTTGATCATAGATTGATATCAGTTAGAGAACCAATGAAAACCAGGGAGTACTGGACAGCTGCTGTTTCATCCTAGTTTGGGAATCATCGCAAGTACGCACCCTCCACCAAGGTTCGAACCCAGGACCTTCCGGTTACAAGGCAAGCTAGCTCGTATACCATTCAGCCACTAGGACCCGATTCATTGGCTCATGAATTCTAACTTCTACCAATTCGTGATTTAGTGCGACCCCAACCATTGTCGTTGGTGGGACATCCACCCACACACGTGACATATAATTGGAAATCACTGGTCACGATTTCTCACTAGAACTCCAGGAAACTCCATCCTGTAGCAAGTCACTAACGAGCATCAGATTAATTTTCTATAGTTTGGTTTGATCAACTCGTAAAAACATAACTAACCCTTACAAACCAAATTATAGAAAATATATCTATTTGAAATATATGTTGCCAAAGACATTGAGCAAAATGGAGTCAGCTACTGACCAATCAATACAAAGAAGGGAGCACGACTTTGAAGCTGGAAACAATATTGAGGTTAATCTCACTAGTGAAATGATACAAAACTTTTGTCGATTTTGTGATAGCAACCTAAAAATAATATAATTTATAGAAAATCAAAACAAATGATTCAGCGAAGAGACTCCTTTCAACGAATTTATCATCAAGCTGTACAATCGTACATATATGGTTTTTATAAGAAGTTATATCCGGTGAGGGAATTGAAACATAGATGTGAATGCATGAAATAATAATAATATGAAATGCAGTTAAAACTAAAATGTCTGTGATTATAATCGTAGTTAAATGTCAAGTGGCAAAACAAATTAATGTCACATATAGAATAATTCATAGGATGGATAGAACTTGAAAAAGGGTGTGCAATTATAAGATTAGTAGACAAATCGAATAAAATAAAAACGTTACGTAATACTGTGTGAAATTTAATAGCATAAAATTTAATGTTGTAAAAAGGAATTGATTTAGAATGACAAGTGGAACAAGTGAAATAATACCGGGGACAGTTAAAAGTGAGAGTAGTAATAGTAACAATTGACTTAATAAGGAAGAGTATACCAATTGAATAGACAAAAATGAAAAATGAAAAATTGGTAGAGCTAAAATATGATTGGGGATTACCATACTTTAGCATAGAGGGATTAAGACCATGAAAGTTGGAGAGGTTGAACGAACTTCTTCTGTACACAGAGATCTGGCTTTTCTGTTTCGATAGCCAAAGCTTCAGCAATACAGATGAGTCGGGTCCGTAGGGATTTCGGTAAATTACTCTTTGCCTTGTAGATGACTTTAAAGGCGGAGGCTATAGAGATAGGGTGATCATTATCGACCAGATGTTCAATGATCGCGCTTCTTATTGCTCCACTTCCACCTTTTCGTGACCATGCAGGATAGTGTTCTTGCACCCTCTTGGACAAAACTCGAGTCGAACGACCGATATACCTAGCTCCACACGAGCAGGTGAATTGATAAAAACACATAGAGTTGGTCAACAGCGGGACCTTGTCCTTCAGGTTATTGAACATTAATGGTCGACTAGTAAAGGCTATTCTCAGAGATGCAGCAGGGAATGTTCTTTTCAAGGACTGTGATATCCTTCGTTTCATGATATCGGAAGCTAAGTCCCCTTTGAATTCCAAGCTCATGTAAAGTATTTTCTTGGGTACGGTTGATAAGTCACGTTTTTTTGGATTTGAATGTATGTTCTTATCTATAAAACGTGGTGGAAATCCATTTTCTATTAGGATTTTCCTCAAGATGTATAACTCATCTTCCACAGTATCAGGGCTACATATGCGCCGAATACGAGTGGCAAGCGACCGGATCAGGTTTCGTTTTCGACCAATGGGTACCCAGCTGTAGAAATTTGTCAGTTGACCATTCCATGACAGCTTACGATAAATCGATCTCTTCATAGTTCCATCGATCCTCCTTGATAAGTTCACATCGAAGAAATGAATGCTAGACTCTTTCTCCATTTTGAGTGTGAATTTTATCGCCAGATGGCAACCACTAAATACATTTAATATATTATTCAAGTTACAATCACTATTACAAATAATAAAGGTGTCGTCCACATACCCTTTATACATTTGAAAGCTTTGGATTATAGGCTTCAGCTGACCATTTTCTAGATTGTACGATTGTACAGCTTGATGATAAATTCGTTGAAAAGGGTCTCTTCGCTGAATCATTTGTTTTGATTTTCTAAATGTTACAATGGGAATTTTCCATGATTTAAAGTAATATAATTCTCTATAGTTTTGCAGCAAATAAGACATATTTATGTAAGTAAACTTAATTTGTTGGCAGAGTAAGCAATAAAAGTCATACTCTTTATTGACTGCAACGACAGGATATACGCCACTGCCTGTTACTGAACCATCAAGATGTATTGACGTGTAGTTCATCGCATGACGAATACTAACAGACTATTTATTTGATACATGATAAATAGGCTTGAATGATTAATAGGTGTTCTCCGTCGTGTTGCATTCCGACTTTTCAAGTAATATTTTCCACTTATGATTGTTTACAACATTTATTAAATCAATGCTTAGCTAATTATCATCTAAAATTTAAAATATAATAATTACTCTTGTTTTATGAATGTGTAGTAGTAGGCTGAGTTTATTAATTTCACTCACGTCATAGAAGACGTAGGTAGTATTCATCATTTCACAAGGTTCCTAACCGACACGTACATACAGTTTCACATAAAAATGACACACAAGACAGATTACGAAATTTCCAGATAAAATTCAAAGTATCAAAGACACCAGTAAATACATTCCATAAGCAATTAGTATTATTGTGTTCCATATTTCATTCTGTATTCATCCCTGCTATGAAAAGCGACAAACTTTCATTTCTTGGCTAATAGTAACCAGCGATTTCTCAGTGCTTACAATTTTTTCAAGCTGGGTTTATTTGTCTCTAATCCCGCTGTTCTACTAAGACTAATTAATGTCAGTTATATATATATATATATATATATACATGATAAGAATATGCCATCTGGCGAAGATAGTGCTAGTTTAATGCGTAGACCTCGTAGAGCTTTAAATGTAGATACTGATGGAGATAAACCCTAACGTAACCCGTATTTCCATCTCCACCTCAATTATCCTCACCTCTTTATCTAATAATACTTGAATAGGAGTAAAACTTATTTGCGTCATATATATGCTAAAAACAATCCATTGTACACCTACTCTAAAAGTACTTCATTCTCTAATTAGATGTTCTGTTTGATTAAACACATAATCTCACTATGAGCATTTCTTTTGATTTCAGGTCATTTCACCCAGATGATATGGAAGTCGACAACACATGTCGGTTTCGGTGTGGCTCTTAGTGCTGATAAAACTAAGGCATACGTGGTTGGACGCTATCTACCAGTAGGCAATATAGGCGATTTCAGATATAATGTTCCAGCATACCAAGGCATTAGAAGAGGTGGTAAGTAATTAATAATGCAGTTTTTTTTTTAGTTTTTGAATTGAATTAATTTGTTTCCATTGAAAAATAGTTGCTTCGTGTGTGTATTTAATCTACACACTTCAGTTCAGCTGAATTTCTTGATTTTAATGACAGAAAAGTGGATTAGCACGAAAATTGAAAATCAAGATTCTTTTTACTGGAATTAGTTTTAGTTATTACTGTTTTAAAACAAATGGATCAGGGTTGATTAGCGTTCATATATATATATACATGATTTCATAAGTGACAAGAATAGCGTTTAAAACTTAGCTTTATATTAAATGTTAATCTATTTTACATAGGAGCAACAATCCTGTTATCAGCAGTTTTATGATTTAGAAAGCTTTTTACAAATCGGAGATTCTAAAGGTCCAACTTTTAGTAATTCTTCACTATGTATTGACACTACAGGACGCTTTTGCACAGAGTGTTTTGTTTTGTTTTATGCTCTAGTGGTAATTTATTCTAGTTTTAAGTGGTCAATAAAACAGATCACACGTTTTCTTTGTTGTCAAATTAAAATTCATGTTGAATTCGGCCGGTTTTCCTAGTTCGAAGACGAGCAAAACTTTGTACTGTCAGAAAGATGAATTACTGTTAACATAACTTCTCTTAGCTTCGAAATATAGCCACTAAAATTATATTACAGTTCCTAGCTGACGGAAGATAATATTTCAAGGAGTATCACGTTATAGACTTACATCAAACAGGCATTTTTATTTCTTTCCCCTTTTCCCACTGGCAAACTGTGTATTATTGAACACAGGTCCATCAGGTGTCAAGAAAAGTAAATTACCTTCAAACAAATGGGCTGAATTTTTTACTGAATAACAGTTTATTCCCATAAATGATTTTGGTTTGAGAGGAAATTCAGCTTGAAATCAACTATGTCATCTAAAAATCTAAAACTAAGGCATGATATGGCTGGTGTTTATTTTTACCTGAGAACAAATGAAATAGAGTGTTTACGCATGATATGACCTTTTTGGATTTGTTAGTATAGAAGTACTATTATTCGTATTGCTGAAAGCTACATAAACCCAACGGTTTTCCGAAGAATATATTTTATTTCATGGAATGTAATGATAAAATAGAAACATTAGTTTTCATTGAAATAATCATTTGAGGAGACATTGACTCTATTGTGAACAACAATCCACATGATCAATTCAGGCATTCTCAAAAGACACTATAGTAGTTAATTATGAATGAATAGTACTAATGTTAATCACTTTAATTTTGTAGAGATTCTCATCGATTCGAGAAGTGAATATGCTCTCACATGACGTAATTCATTCAGTCATTAGTTCTTCAAATTAGAAATTTTTGTACTTGAAGCACTCCTGCTCATTTTTCAGAAATAGTAGTATGTTTCCACTATTTAAATGATATGAATTTAACATCAGATCGCTTTTTGTTCAAGCATCATTTAAGTGCTAATGTTACAAAAGTGCACAACACTACATAATATTACTTTTAAAACGTTATACTACTTAAATAAAATATAGTAACCGGCTATATAATCGTGAAAAATGCTAGATAGGGATACACTTAATTAGGAGTGTTTGTTGTTATCCTATTCATAACATTGCTGTTGTGTCCATTTAATTAACAACAGCAACAACAAAACATCAGAACTCACTCATATTTTTCTACTGTTTTCATCCATTTTCGTTTTAGTAGGTGACAATGAAAGTAAATGACGGTTTTATAATCTTTTTTCAACTAATCAGTTAAATAATATTAATCCTTTTTAATAGTAGTTACGTTAAACTGTTTGTCTAACTATTCGCTCCGAATTAAAATACGTGTGTAAGCCCTTTAAATAATAATATAATAATGTGACTGTTTTTATCTAAATGGGCTCCAGGTAAAGATGATGCAATTCAACCGACAATAGTGCCGAGAACTTCTGCGGAAGGTAGGTATTTATTTTATAGGGGTTGACTTGATGTCAAATAACAGTATAACTAAAATTGAATGGAAAAAAATAAATAAATAATCCGGAGGTGAATAAAACTGTGTGACTAATAAAATCTAATGTCTTCAATCAGGAAAAAAGGTTCATTACTGTGAAAGCATTAAAACATCAAATGAAGTATAATTATATTGCAATAGTTTACACACAATGATAAGTTTTGTTATTGGTAATATTTCGAGCAAAATTACTGCCCGTGTTCACACCACTGTTGGAATTGTTTGATTTTGCTCGAAATATTACCAATAACAAAACTTATCATTGTGTGTAAACTATTGAAATATAATTATACTTTATTTGATCTAATCCACAATGCTCAAACTTTTTACTGGCATTAAAACATGTTTGTTATTCAGGTGGAATGCATTCAGTCAACTGTTACATAATGCCAAATAGGTAGATATCTCTTATATTTGTTTATTGCTGTTTAACTAAGTAAAGTGATTAAGCAGAGAGTGGTCATGGCTTTTAAAATAGTGACCATATCATAACACTTTGAAAATTATTTGTATTCACAATTCCTTGAACAGTAGTTCATTTGTAAAACCTACCATTAAAATTATTCCCTTGGGTTTTGAGTGAAACATAGGGCTTCAACACAAACTCTCCATTTCACGCTGCTCTCTGAAGTCCTCTTAAGCTCACTGCTCACATTATCTATTCTATGTCATTGCCGGACACATGCATGACTTGTTATTTTACATTCAGGTTCCAATCGAGCTATGACCTGGTGCCTGATGAAACTCAAAGGTCTTCTCAGAATATGTGCAATCCACTTCTATTTCCGTAGGAATAATTGTTGACCAATTTGTTCTTAACTGTCTTGTTCCTAGAGTTACTTGTTGCTAGTTATTTCTATCTAGTCATCTAATCTTCACCTAGCTGTTAGAAATGCTTTTCGTGGCTTACCTGTCAAGTTTCTGACCTATACAGAAGAATCAATTTAACGATGATGTTGAGGATCCAAATTTTGTTTTTAACGCTGAGTGCAGAAGTTTTTCAAACTGATTTTAGAGTAACGAAGACCTGTATCACCTTTCCGATTCAGGTTTTGACATTCAGTATCCTGTAGTCGATAAGTGGATGAAGTGATCAGTTTATACTGGTTTGTTTTTGTTGTTGGTTGATTGGTTGGTTAGTTGGTTGCTTCCCTCTATCAGCTCCACATCCTCTATGTTCAACTGAAGCCCTGTCGTTGCTTCATATACTTCTCCTTCTTTCAACTTGTTGTTTTTCGCCTATAGATCTTTGAATTTATATGACATTATATATAAATCTTCGGTGAAGTCCTGATCTTCTTCCTATCGATCTAATGTATTCCTATCTTGTGGCTCTCCACAGCCTTCTGCACAATCCAGTCTACTACATTTAGGAATAAAAACCTATCATACATAATTCTTATCCGAAATGATGTTTATTTGTCGTAAACGGAATTTAACTTTGGTTGTTTTTATATCGAAATGACTTCACTAAGACTTTTGTCAATACAGACACTTCAGTGATCGTTTCTTTTACACGGACTCTAACCTGAAAAGTGTTATTTAAACCTGATGAATAAACGTTATTGCAAATGGTATTCTTGACACAAAAACTAAGGAAAACTTTAATTTCAGGTGATACATGGGATATAAGTTATATATGGTATAAGAAACTTAAACTAACTTGTGTGATTAATTCTATGGTTTGTGTATAACGTTTTTTGTCCTAACTAGAATCATGTTTACCTCCTTTTCATTATCAGGTGGATATGGGGGTAAGTGATGTAAAAAATAGGCTTAGAAACTGAATATTTTGTAATAATGAATTAAGGCATAAGTTACGCTTTATCTACAATGCAGTACGCGGGTAATTTTTGAGCATTCTGGCGTCAGGAATATCTATAAGAATATTGTAGTTTAATAAATTTCTTCGATAAAGTTATACGAAACTCTGATTCCTTCGTATGAGAACGAAAATCTTTGCCAGTTATTAACATTTAACTTGGCATTTTCTAATCCAGTATGCGTCTGCATGAGGCTGGAAAATCTTCGTGTCCGTTGAAAACTTACGCTGGGGACTCGAAAAATTATGTCTTAGACAGATACGCTATCTATCCACATTACAAAAAAAAATTATGAGTTTGAATTCTTATTCTACAGTAAATAAGTTCAAGTGATATGAAATAACATAAGACCACGGTGCCCTAGTTCAACACTTAAAACAATTCCTCACTCATAGTGAATCAACTGCAGTATTCACCGTACAGAAGTCTTCTTGTATGACTACCTAAATTTATATTATTGATCTTGCCTGCTTTTTAAACACTGCAACTATTTGAAAGGCTTTATTTCAACAGAAATAAAAAGCCCTAATTAGACAGAACTATTATAAAAACTTTCTCATCATACATTTCACACCGAGTGATCACAGCTGGAATTCTCATTTCCTGCCAGATTATGTGCGTAGGCCATTAAATAATAAAACAGTATATTATTGAAATAGTGCTGACGTCGAATGAGAAGGTAATTAAAATTCATGAAAATTACTAGTGTCTGAAGGCAACTAATATCACTCATAAAAACGACTATCTCTTGGTGTGCAATAAAATTTTTATTGTCGACGCTAAATAAAGTACTATTACAGTTTGAAAATAACTTAATCAAATCCGAAAAAAAATAATTCTATGCGGAATGCAATACTCACCTCATGTGTCAGGAAAGACAATGTTTCAAAGACTGAACTCTAAGTTCCAGAGAAATCACATCGGATGTTGCAATTATAAAGGATATATGCATGTCATTATACCAATCACTTGACAGTGAATTACTGAAATGAATCTTTCTCCACAAAACGTTTCTTCGTTTTTCACGTAATACAGACCTTGATCTGATAGATCATACATCGTCCCCAGTGAAAATCAAACCACATTATTAATCCTAATGTAATTAATATTGTTAATCGGGATGGAATTAAACAATAGAATTATGTACTTCAGTGTTGATCATGGAGATTTCATTCTCCTCTTTTCTCCAATGTGGTGTTCCTATTCTTGTAAGAGTTTAACGTCCCTACTGACTAACAGTGGTGTAGAAGAGGATAACAGTTGTTTCTAACATTTAAAACCATCGCATATCCTTTGTCCTTCCGTATTATAGGAAACGTGTGATTTGGAAAAGAGTAAAACTGAAGCATTTTTTAGATTTGAAATGTTTTATAATTTTTCTATCGCGCATCTTATAAATTGAATATGAAACTTGCTAGGAAGCGAAGTCGGGAATTCATTCTACAGACCAGGAATACTAGTATGAAAAGAAATGAAGACTGCCGTGTCGACGTAGAAATTATTTATGCGTATCCTAAAACTAGTTATTTTCGTATTCGCTACCACTAGTTTGACAGAGTACCGTAGAAACCGACTGAGTTCCTTGACTGTCAAGGGGTCCTTTCTGCATTTTCACTCAAGAAAAATCCACACTCGAACATTAGTAGAGAAGAGATTAGTAGTTCGGCGAAGAATCTCTTTTCGTCGAATTCATTTTCACAGCTGTACAATCGCGAATTTATTTGATTATTCTGGTTGTGTGTGCACATTAACTTTGTCAAACAAAAATGCGATTAGTAGTAGTTACGTAATACAAAATCGTTTAGAAATATTGAATGGAAGTGATGAATTATCACAAAACGATTGTTAAGGAAGATTTCTGCAATAGCATGTATAGTTTGATGAAAGAGGTTTGCTCATAGTGAACACGAAAACAAAGTAAAATACGGAATTAGGCAAATATCTTAAAGGAATACAGAAGTTTTAATTAGTTAGAGGAAAAACAAACAAGCAAAATTAAGTCAAATCAACAGAGTTGTTACTATGATAGTAGAAGTGGCTGAATAATTTTCTTTTGTATGCATAGTTCTGGTTCTTCTCACTGAAAGTTTAGTGTTTTTGCAATGAAAAGAAGGAAAAAGTGCATTGCCTATGGCAGGTTAAACTTCACTTTGTGGATTACTTTGAAGGAGGATTTTGCTGAGCTGGAAGGCCAGTGTTGACAAGGTGTTCGGTTAAGACTATCAAGGGTTATTGGATAAGCCAATCGTTGAAATGTATGAGGAAGTAATTCGAGGCTTTAGGTAGATTTGACTGTATTGACAGATTGCTGAATTCCCTTCTAATAAATTATGAGGGCCAAAAACACAGAAATTCTCAAGAAAATATGGAGAGATTCGGCTTATGAATGTGCAATATCAGTTCCATCACATTACCAGACGACTTGAATTTCGTTCATTAGCCAGTTAACATGTGTCATTTCAAAGCATTAGATTATAGATACGCAACAAGTTGCAGCCGTCCATTTCTTGAAACTGACGATGATTTCTCACGAAAATAAAACTAATTAATTAGAATAAGACCTAAGGAAGAATAAAAATCATGATATGATTGAAACTGTCATTAATTATGGTAATATTTATTGATTGAAAAACATCTTCAAAATTTCCTGTTTGATACACTTTAGGAGAAAATGGCAGTATAAAAGGTGAGTAAATTGAATAATAAGTTCATCTTTTTCACAGTGAAAATAAATCATTTTGATTGTCGTTTATCCATGGTTATTACATAATTAGCCTATGATACTATGCTCAGATACTTCACTTTTCATTACACACACTAGTTAAGGAACACAAGCAGTCCTTTCTCGGTTCCGTGTCTTATTACAACTAAGCTAATAGCCGACCAATTGAAATTTAACACTGAATAAAGCAAGAACAACAGTGGTTTGTGCAGAATAATATGTTGCCATCATTTATTTCCTTGCTTTCCATCAGCTGCGTACAGCCTACAGAAATTATTAAGCTTATGTACAAAACGATTTCAACATCCTTCTAGAGGCTACATGGTGTCAGTTGATAGAATGTTCCAAACTAAATAGACAATGCTGAGAAAATTGCGATTATATAGTATTCACCTAGAGACTCCAAGTTTAAATGAAAATAAACCTTCGCATACAATGTCAAAGGAGTCACAAAATATAGACGAGTGGTGAGTTAGGTGATAAGTAACTAATTTAATCAGAAAGAGCGCAGTGAGTTCAACTGAAATCATAGAAACAAGAGACAAGCAAAGTTACACAATATCGAAAAATGGAAACAATAATCTCTCCCCATTTGAAAGTTAGCACTTGTAATCATGGAAACATTTGGAGATATATGTTGTTAATTTATTATCCACCTGGATTCCGCCTGAAACATTAGGCTTCAACACCACACCTCACTATCATCCCCCCACTCTAGTCTCCATCGAGCTTACTCCACGATTGATCGTGAACTTTCTTCAACTCCTAACACAGTCTCCTCCTGCATGTCATCCCTTGACACATGCACAACTCGGAATTTCTCATTTAGCTTCCAATCTAGCTATGGCCTGGTGCCTGATGTCCTGGAAGGAGCATCTAATCAATGCTTATTTCTCAGCATACGTCCTAGAAAATAGGTCCTTGTTTGCTGTGTTGCTATAGTCGCCTGCTGAGAATCCTTTCTGGTCATTAGATCTTCAGTATGAAACCAGCGAAGGCATCTGTTGTTGAAATACTTCTGGTGATATGTAAAGTCTCTGAACCATATTGAAATATTGATTTGGCAATCACTTACACAATAGACAAATTCATAAGGTTCGTGTTATGCTCACCAATCGCATTAAGTTATTGAAACACCCAACTGCAAAACAAAGCATCACATTATGTAACACTATACAGTATAGAAAAATATCTAGTGTGCAAAATAATATTTTTATTATTGTTCCCTTGGGTTCCTAGTGGAACATAGGGCTTCATCTGCACGCCTCCACTTGCTTCTGTCTTCTGCTGTATTTTTCACTTGCATCCGTGTTAATCCATACTGTTTCAACTCCTCTTTACACGATCTCCTCCAAGTCACCCTTGGACGTCCCACTCGCCACTTCCCTTTCGGGTTCCACTCGAGCACTGGCCTGACGCGCGATGTCACCTAACGGCCTCCTCAGCGAGTGTCCAATCCATCTCCACTTCCTCCTGCATATTTGTTGAGCGATTGGTTCTTGTTTTGTTTCTTCCCATGCCTTCTTGTTTGTGATTATTTCCAGCCATCTGATCTTCAGTATAGAACGAAGACAGTTGTTGATAAAGGTCTGCGACAGGCTGTTGGAAATATTCTTTGTGACCCGACAAGTTTCTGATTCGTATAGAATAACTGACTGACTTGACGTTTGTATTGAAAATCCGAATTTTGTTGTTGATGCTGAGTGACAGCGGAAGATTTCCAGATTGGTTTCAGGTTGATGAATGTGTTTCTCGCCTTCCCGATTCTCGCTCGATTTGACATCCTCGTCCGTTCCTCGTGTAGTTGAGAGAATGCTCCTTAGATCAGTGAGTGAATGAAGTAACCTCTTTCAAATCCGTCCCGTTGATGGTGATTGGCGCTGGATGTTGCTGTTGTTGTTGTTGTTGGTTGATTATTTTCATAACCTCCGTCTAGTCTATGTTCACCTGGATTCCTGTCATTGTTGCTTCTTCGACCAGTTTGTCGGTTTTCGCTTGTAAGTCTTCCATCTTGATTATTCTGGTAATTAAAAAGTACTTAATGAATATTACTCGAATTTTGGTTTCGCTGGTTATCAGCATTCAATTTCTTCCATACCTTTCGCATTATTTCAAGAATGGACAAAAGATTTATGAAATAAACGGCTTTTCAGAATACACCTTATACGGAGTAAACTGCTAGATGTGTAGAATTCATCTTGTTCTCTTTAGATGAGGGAATAATTTCTATATCTTGTACGTCTTCGTCAATATGTGAATATCTGAAGAATAATTCTATGAGTGTAAATATATAATTAAGTTATTCATAAGTCACTTTTTATTTGCTATGCAAATTCTGATATTCATATCTTGAAAATATCTATCCAAATACAAATCAGGTCAAAATGGTAAGTTAAATTTCCTGTTTAAGCCAGTGAGTAAACCACTAGTTTTTTTATGAAATCGAGTCAAAATCACAGCATTGGTGTTTCATAATTATTTTTGAGAATGTGAAACAAATCTTGTATTGAAAATTAAAACAGGTGATTCGGCAAAAAGAGACTATTTTCGACGAATTTATTCCCAAGCTGTACAATCGTATATATATATGGTTCATTTTAAGAAATTATATCCGGTGAGGGAATTTAATCATGGATGTGAATGCATGAAATAATAATAGTATGAAATGCAATTAAAATGGTTGTGATTATAACCATAGTTCGTTGTGAAGTGGCAAAACAATTAATATCATAAATAGAATAATTCTTAGGCTATATAGAGGTTGAAAGCAGTGTGAAAGCATAGGATTAGTGGGTGAATCGAATAAAATAAAAAACGTTACGTGACATTGTGTGTAGTGAGCTCAACTGAAATCATAGAAGCAAGAGACAAGCAAGGTGACACCATATCGAAGAGGGCAGAGACTACAGTCAATGACACACGAACTAACACTCTACCATGATGCTCTAGTTCAACACTTACAATAATTCTTCACTCATAGAGAATCAACTGCACTACTCACTGTTAAGAAGTCTTCTTGTATGACTACTGAATTTATATTATTGATCTAGACTGCTTTTTATACACTGTAGCTATTTGAAAGGCTTTATTTCAACAGAAATAAAAAGCACTAATTATTCCATTATGGGTAAATTTTATTTTGATATAGTGTCACAGTGCTATACAGTAATATTTACTGATGACGTTTCGAGCACAATTTATTGCTCATAATCATATCATATCAAGCACTAATTATACAGAACTATTGTAAAAACTATCTCATCATACATTTCACACCAAGTGATCACAGCTGGAATTCTCATTTCCTGCCAGATTATGTTCGTAGGCCATTAAATAATAAAATGGTATAATATTGAAATTGTGCTTACATCGAATGAGAAGGTAATTAAAATCCATGAAAATTACTAGTGTCTGAAGGCAACTAATATCACTCATAAAAACGACTATCTCTTGGTGAGCAATAAAATTTTTATTGTCCTCATTCACCATCTGAATAAAGTGTTCATCGTGCGGTTGAGTCGATGGTAAATAAAGTACTTTTGCAATCTGAAAAAGAAACTCAATATAATCCGGAATGAAAATAATTATGATACATGTGATATAAGTTATATATGGTATAAGAAACTTAAACTAACTTGTGTGATCAATTCTATGGTTTGTGTTTATTGTTTTTAGTCCTAACAAGAATCATGTTTACCTCCTTTTTACCATCAGGTGGATATGGGGGTAAGTGAGGTAAAAAATAGACTAAGAAACTGAACATCTTGTAATAATGAATGTAGGCGTAAATTACGCTGTCTCAACAATGCAGTACACGGGTAATTTTTGAGTATTCTGGAGTCAGGAATATCTATAAGAATATTGTAGTTTAATAAATTTCTTTGGTACAATTAAATGAAACTCTGATTCCCTCGCATGAGAACGAAAATGTTTGCAAGGTATTAACACTTAACTAGGCATTTTCTAGTAGAAGATGAATTGCCGTGAGGCAGAAAATTTTCGTGTTAGTCAAAAACGTATTCTGAGGAATGATATCCCTTATGTTTTGGATAGATTAATAATCTCTCCACAGAAATTAAAAAGCTTAAAAGATCAGCTTACCAATTTTACAATAGATAAGGCCATAAGATATGAAATTACAGTCGAACATGGTGCCCTAGTTCAACACTTACAATAATTCTTTACTCAGAGCGAATCAACTGCACTATTCACTGTATAGAAGTCCACTTGTATGACATCTAAACTAATATTATTGATCCAGCCTGCTTTATATACACTGCAACTATTTGTAAGGCTTTATTTCAACAGAAATAAAAAGCCCTAATTAGACAGAACTATTGTAAAAACTATCTCATCATACATTTCACACCGAGTGATCACAGCTGGAATTCTCATTTCCTGCCAGATTATGTTCGTAGGCCAATAAATAATAAAACAGCATATCACTGAGATAGTGCTGACGTCGAATGAGAAGGTAATTAAAATCCATGAAAATTACTAGTGTCTGAAGGCAACTAATATCACTCATAAAAACGACTATCTCTTGGTGAGCAATAAAATTTTTATTGTTCTCATTCACCATCTGAATAAAGTGTTCATCGTGCGGTTGAGTCGATGGTAAATAAAGTACTTTTGCAATCTGAAAATAAAACTCAATGATATTCGAAAAGAAAATAATTCTGAGACCATTGAAGCTGTTTTCAGAGATTCAGTCTGTGAATTCACCAGTGTGATACATTGACTTGTTGATGAAGAAGCATATTTGCTAAAGATCTTTTACTCAGCTCAATATTTGGTACAAATGCAGTGGAATAAGTTGAAATGTTACCTTGTCAAACAAGGAAATTTGCATGAAGTTTTGTTAAAGAAAAAGAGAAGGTTTAGTGACTAGATTCACTGCGATAATATATTTGAAAGTAAAGCTGAAAAAATGAGAGCAATATTTGCATGATGGTGGGAAATGCGGAATGAAGTGCTACTCCTTTCTTGTGTCAGGACAGTCCTTATTTCAGAGCCTGAATTCTCTGTCCTAGAGAATTCACATCGGATGTTGCAATTATAAAGGATATATGCATGTCATTATACCAATAACTTGACAGTGAATCACTGAAATGAATCTTTCTCCACAAACCGTTTCTACATTTTTGACGTAACACAGACCTTCAACTAATAGATCATACATCGTCTGCAGTGAAATTCAAACCGTTTTATTAATCCTTATGTAATTAATATTGTTGATCGAGGTGAAGTTAAAAAAGAGAATTATATTTCTTCATAGTAGTCATAGAGATTTCATTCCCCTCTCTTGTTAAATATGGTGTTCCTATACTTGTAAGACTTTAACGTCCCTACAGACTAACAGTGGTGTAAAAGTAGATTACAGTTGTTTCTAACATTTACAACCATCGTTCAGATTGTGTGCTTCCGTATTATATGAAGCACCTTATTTGGAAAACTGTTAAACTGAAGCACTTTTTAGATTTGAAATGTTTCATAAATTTTCTATCGCACGTGTTATAAATCAAGTATGCAACTGGCTAGGAAGCGAACTCGGGCATTCATCTAATCTGGGATGTCCAGTGTTTGTGAATTCTACAGACCAGCAACACTAGTATGAAAAGAAATGAAGACTGCCGTGTCGACGTAGAAATTATGTATGCGCTTCTTAAAACTAGTTATTTTCGTATTTGCTACCGGAAGTGTCACAGAGTACTGTAGAAACCCATTGAGTTCCTTGACATCCAAGGGGTCTTTTCTGCTTTTAAACTCTTAAAAATTCCCCACTCGAACATCAGTGGAGAAAAGACTGCTATTTCATCGAAGGGTCTTTTTCGGTGAATTCATTTTCACAGCTGTATAATGGCAAATATATATGGTTATTTTGTATGTGCGTGTACATTAAATTTGTGTAATGGAAATACAATTGTTAAGTTTTCGTGGAGTTACGTACTACAAAATATGTTCAGAGGAATTGGATGTTGATATAAGAGGGTAGTAACAAAAGTGATGAGTTGTCACAAACGATTGTTAAGGAGGAGTTACGTAACAACATGAATAGTTTGATGAAAGAGATTTGCTCAGGGTGTACATGAAAACAAAATAAAATATGGAAGTAAGTAAAAGTGTTAAAATAATACAGAAGTCTAGAGAACCACTGGAAAACCTCGGACTACTGGATAGCTGTTTCGTCCTAGTGTGACGTGTCTATCCCTTTCTTTGGAGCAGACTGAATTCTGTCAGTCAGGTTACACTGGTTACTAGTGTCATACCAAAACATCATCTACAGTCTTAAAGGAGGTCAATCGTGAACCTGAGTAGCTCAGTGGTTACGTCTCTGACTGCAGCAGTGGGTGAAGTAGATTCGAATCTCAGAAGGGACATGAGTTCCTTTAGAGTTTCAGATACGCCTTACTGACTGGTGAGTGCCAGCTAGCATGAAACCTATGTCTAAGGCTTCCTGCCGTTTCCCTCCAACTATCTTATGTCATCAAATCATTGTGCACCATGATGGCGAGCTACCTAGTGGAATGGTGGCCACATTGCAAATCCAACCGAAAAGATTCAGTCTGCACCAAAGAAAGGACTAGACACGTCACGCTAGTTACTAATGCACAATCAAAGCACTTTATGATATGACTGAAACTGTCATTATTTATGGTAATATTTAATGATTGAAAAACATCTTCAAAATTTCCTGTTTGATACACTTTAGGAGAAAATGGCAGTATAAAAGGTGAGTAAATTGAATAATGAGTTCATATTTATTCACAGTGAAAATAAATCCTTTACGACTGTCGTTTATCCATGGTTAGTACATAATTAGCCTATGATACTATGCTCAGATACTTCAATTTTCATAACACAAACTGGTTTAGAAACACAAGCAGTCTGTTGTCGGTTCCGTGTCTTATTACAACTAAGCTAATAGCCGACCAATAGAAGTTTAACATTGAGTGAAGCAAGAATAACATTGGTCTGTGCAGAATAACATGTTACCATCATTTGTTTCCTTTCCTTCCATCAGCTGCGTACAGCCTACAGAAATTATTAAGCTTATGTACAAAACGATTTCAACATTCTTCCAAAGGCTACATGGTGTCAACATTTGTAAAAAATTATATTTGTAAAATCTCAGAGAGACTGAAATGAGTAATTCCAACGTTTCGTTCGGAAATCTCGTCGGAACTGTTTATGAGCTGTGATCAAAATTTGACCTCGGACTTACAAATATTGCTCTTACTTTGTTAAACAATTTAAACTGTGTGTATGTGTGTGTGGGTAAGCAGTTGTAAAACATTCCTTAACGTCTCCATAAGAAGATGTGGACAGTCGAGAATTTTGACCAAGTTCTAATAATTAGTTATACATACCCATTTTTTATTTATTAATAAGGATTTCCTATGCATCAGCTAACATCACGCCTTCATGTCTGTTCAAACAGTTAGTATCTAGAATTTTATGATTAGACGTATTTTCAAAATTATGGTGTTTAGGATTAGAGTTTAGTAGAAGCAGCCTGTAGGACAAAGTTTTTAAAAACAAGTGATGTTCCTTTTATACATAAACCTCTGTTATATTAATTTCGATTAATTTCCCTGAAGAAGTTCGGACCAGATTGCCGAACGAAACGTTGGAATTACTCATTTCAATCTCGCTGAGATTTTACAAATATAGCTTTTTACAAATGCCTACTTCTCACTCGGCGCCCAAATATTTTAGTACTTTTCTGTCAAATCTTAACGACAGTTCATTTGAACAGAATGTTGCAAAGTAAAGAGACAATGCTGAGAAAATTGCCATTATATAGTATTCACCTAGAGACTCCAAGTTTAAATGAAAATAAACCTTCGCAAACAATATCAAAGGAGTTACAAAAGGAAGCCGAGGGGTGAGTTGGGTGACAAGCAACTAATTTCGTCAGTAACAGTGTAGTGAGTTCAACTGAAATCATAGAAACAAGAGACAAGCAAGGTTACACTATATCAAAAAAGGGAGACTTTATTCTCTCCCCTTTTGAAAGTTAACACTTGTAATCGTGGAAATATTTGAAGATATATGTTGTTAATTTATTATCCCCCTGGATTCCGCGTGAAACATTAGGCTTCAACACCACACCTCCTTATCATCCCCTCCTCTCTAGTCCCCTTAAGTTGACTCCATGATTGACCATAAAATTTCATCACATCCTAACACAATCTCCTCCTGCATGTCATCCCTTGACAAATGCACAGCTCGGCATTTCTCATTTGAGTTCCAATCGAACTATGGCCTGGTGCCTGATGTAACTGAAGGTTATTTTCAGCATGCATCTAATCCATGCTTATTTCTCAGCATACTTCTTAGACAATAAGTCCTTGTTGGCTGTGTTACTAGAGTTGCCTGGCTATTGGATCTTCGGTATGGAACCAGCGAAGGCATCTGTTGATGAACGTTGCAGCAGGCTTTGGAAATGCTTCTGGTGATATGTAAAGTCTGTGAACCATAGAGATGCACTGATTTGACAATTACTTACACAATAGACAAATTCGCAGAGTTGCTAGTATGCTCACCAATCGCTTTAAGTTGGAAACACCCAACTAGAAAACAAAGCATCACATTATGTAACAATATACAATATATAAGAATATATAGTGTGCAAAATAATATCACTAATATTATTGATTATTCTGGTAATTAAAAAAGTACTAAATGAATATTACACGAATTTCGGTTTCGCTGGTTATCAGCTTTCAAATTCTTCCATACGTTTTCATTATTTCAAGAATGGACAACAGATTTATGAAACAAACGGTTTTTCAGAATACACCTTATACGGAATAAACTGCTAGATGTGTAGAATTCATCTTGTTTTCTTTAGATAAGGGAATAATTTTTATATTTTGTACGTCTTCTTCAATATGTGAATATCTGAAGAATAATTCTATGAGTGTAAATATATAATTAAGTTATTCATAAGTCACTTTTGATTAGCTATGCAAATTCTGATATTCATATCTTGAAAATATCTATCCAAATACAAATCAGGTCAAAATGGTAAGTTAAATTTCCTCTTTGAGCCAATCACTAAACCACTAGTTTTCTTATGAAATTGAGTCGAAATCACAGCATTGGTGTTTCATAATTATTTTTGAGAATGTGAAACAAATCTTGTATTGAAAATTAAAACAGGTGATTCGGCAAAAAGAGACTCTTTTCAACGAATTTATTACCAAGCTGTACAATCGTATATATATATATGGTTCATTTTAAGAAATTATATCCGGTGAGGGAATTTAATCATGGGTGTGAATGCATGAAATAATAATAGTATGAAATGCAATTAAAATGGTTGTGATTATAACCATAGTTCGATGTGAAGTGGCAAAACAATTAATATCATATATAGAATAATTCTTAGGATGTATAGAGGTTGAAAGCGGTGTGAAAGCATAGGATTAGTGGGTGAATCGAATAAAATAAAAAACGTTACGTGACATTGTGTGTAGTGAGTTCAACTGAAATCATAGAAACAAGAGACAAGCAAGGTGACACCATATCGAAGAGGGCAGAGACTACAGTCAATGACATACGAACTAACACTCTACCATGGTGCTCTAGTTCAACACTTACAATAATTCTTTACTCATAGAGAATCAACTGCACTACTCACTGTTAAGAAGTCTTCTTGTATGACTACTGAATTTATATTATTGATCTAGACTGCTTTTTATACACTGCAACTATTTGAAAGGCTTTATTTCAACAGAAATAAAAAGCACTAATTACATTATGTATATTTGATATATCACAGTAAGAATATAAGCACTAATTAGACAGAACTATTGTAAAAACTTTCTCATCATACATTTCACACCAAGTGATCACAGCTGGAATTCTCATTTCCTGCCAGATTATGTGCGTAGGCCATTAAATAATAAAATAGTATATTATTGAAGTAGTGCTGACATCGAATGAGAAGGTAATTAAAATTTGTGAAAATTACTAGTGTCTGAAGCATATAAAAAGCAATAAAATTTTTATTGTCCTCATTCACCATATGAATAAAGTGTTCATCGTGCGGTTGAGTCGATGCTCAATAAAGTACTTTTGCAATCTGAAAAGAAAACTCAATATAATCCGGAATGAAAATAATTCTGATACATGTGATATAAGTTATATATGGTATGAGAAACTTAAACTAACTTGTGTGATTAATTCTATGGTTTGTGTATAACGTTTTTTGTCCTAACAAGAATCATGTTTACCTCCTTTTTATTATCAGGTGGATATGGGGGTAAGTGATGTGTAAAATAGGCTTAGAAACTGAACATCTTGTAAAAATGAATTAAGGTGTAAGTTACGCGTTTCCTACAATGCAGTACGCGGGTAAATTTTGAGCATTCTGGCGTCAGTAATATCTATAAGAATATTGAAGTTTTATAAATTTCTTCGATAATATTAAATGAAACACTGATTCCTTCGTATGAGAACGAAAATGTTTGCCAGGTATTAACATTGAACTAGGCATTTTCTAGTAGAATATGTGTGCCGTAAGGCTGAGACCATTACAGCTGTTTTCAGAGAATCAGTCTGTAAATTCACTAGTGTGATACACTGACTTGTTGATGAAGAAGGACATTTTCTAAATTCTTTTTACTCAGCTCAAAATTGAGTTCAAATGCAGTGGAATAAGTTGAAATGTTACCTTGTCAAACAAGGAATTGCATGAAGTTTTGTTAGAACAAAAAGGGAAGGTTTAGTGACTAGATTCACTGCGATAATATATTTGAAAGTGAAGCTCAACAAATGAGAGTGATAATTGCATGATGGTGAGAAATGCGGAATGAAATGCTATTCGCCTCTTGTGTCAGGACAGTCCCTATTTCAGAGCCTGAATTCAATGTCCTAGAGAATTCACATCGGATGTTGCAATTATAAAGGATATATGCATGTCATTAAACCAGACACTTGACAGTGAATTACTGAAATGAATCTTTCTCCACAAACCGTTTCTACATTTTTGACGTAATACAGACCTTGAACTAATAGATCATACATCGTGCACAGTGGAATTCAAACCGTTTTATTAATCCTAATGTAATTAATATTGTTAATCGGGGTGGAGTTAAACAACAGAATTATATTTCTCCATATTAATCATAGAGATATCATTCTCCTCCTTTCCCCAATGTGGTGTTCCTATACTTGTAAGACTTTAACGTCCCTACTGACTAACAGTGGTGTAGAAGAGGATAACAGTTGTTTCTAACATTTAAAACCATCGTTCAGATTGTGTGCTTCCGTATTATAGGAAACACCTTATTTGGAAAACAGTTAAACTGAAGCATTTTTTAGATTTGAAATGTTTCATAAATTTTCTATCGTACGTTTTATAAATCAAATATGAAACTTGTTAGGAAGCGAACTCGGGCATTCATCTAATCTGGGATGTCCAGTGTTTGTGAATTCTACAGACCAGCAACACTAGTATGAAAAGAAATGAAGACTGCCGTATCGACGTAGAAATTATGTATGCGCTTCTTAAAACTAGTTATTTTCGTATTCGTTACCACAAGTTTGACAGAGTTCCATAGAAACCGACTGAGTTACTTGACTGTAAAGGCGTCGATTCAGCTTTTAAACTCATGAAATATTTACACACAAACATCAGTAAAGAAGAGACCATTAGTTCGGCAAAGAGTCTTTTTTCGTTGTATTCATTTTCACAGCTGTACAATCGCGAATTTATATGGTTATTTTGTATGTGCGTGTACATCAAATTTGTGTAATGGAAATACAATTGTTAAGTTTTCGTGGAGTTACGTACTACAAAATATGTTCGGAGGAATTGGATGTTGATATAAGAGGGTAGTAACAAAAGTGATGAGTTGTCACAAACGATTGTTAAGGAGGAGTTACGTAACAACATGAATAGTTTGATGAAAGAGATTTGCTCAGGGTGTACATGAAAACAAAATAAAATATGGAAGTAAGTAAGAGTCTCAAAATAATACATAAGTCCAGAGAACCACTGGAAAACCTGGGACTACTGGATAGCTGTTTCGTCCTAGTGTGACGTCTTTATCCCTTTCTTTGGAGCAGACTGAATTCTGTCAGTCAGGTTACACTAGTTACTAGTGTCATATCAAAACACCATCTACAGTCCTAAAGGAGGTCAATCGTGAACCTGAGTAGCTCAGTGGTTACGTCTCTGACTGCAGCAGTGGGTGAAGTAGATTCGAATCTCAGAAGGGACATGAATTCCTTCAGGGTTTCAGATACTCCTCACTGACTGGTGAGTGCCAACTAGCATGAAACCTAGGTCTAAGGCTTCCTGCCGATTGCCTCCAACTATCTTATGTCATCAAATCAATGTGCACCGTGATGGCAAGCTACCTAGTGGAATGATGGCCACATTGCAAATCCGACCGACAGAATTCAGTCTGCATCAAAGAAAGGACTAGACACGTCACGCTAGTTACTAGTGTACAATCAAACAACTTCATGATATGACTGAAACTGTCATTATTTATGGTAATATTTAATGATTGAAAAACATCTTCAAAATTTCCTGTTTGATACACTTTAGGAGAAAATGGCAGTATAAAAGGTGAGTAAATTGAATAATAAGTTCATATTTTTTCACAGTGAAAATAAATCTTTGATTGTCGTTTATCCATGGTTATTACATAATTAGCCTATGATACTATGCTCAGATACTTCACTGTTCATTACACACACTAGTTAAGGAACACAAGCAGTCTGTTCTCGGTTCCGTGCCCTATTACATCTAAGCTGATAACCGACCTATTGCAGTTTTACACTGAATAAAGCAAGAACAACAGTGGTTTGTGCAGAATAACATGTTACCATCATTTATTTCCTTGCATTTCATCAGCTTGGTACAGCCTACAGAAATTATTAAGCTTATGTACAAAACGATTTTAACATCTTTAAGGACATGGTTTCAGTTGACAGAATGTTCCAAACTTAATAGACAATGCTGAGAAAATTGCGATTATATAGTATTCACCTAGAGACTCCAAGTTTAAATGAAAATAAACCTTCGCATACAATGTCAAAGGAGTTACAAATTAAAGACGAGGGGTGAGTTAGGTGATAAGTAACTAATTAACTCAGTAACAGTGTAGTGATTTCAATTGAAATCATAGAAACAAGAGACAAGCAAGGTTACACCATATCGAATAGGTTAGAATTCACAGCTAATGCCTGCGAAATCTTATGAAATGCAGAACAAATTCCTTCGGTTATCCGGGCTAGGTAGTTGGCCGATGAATTTATCTCTCTGAAGGCGTAAATTGGCTGTTTAACAGAAACTTCTATGTCATACTTCAGGACACCTGAATTAACCTGTCTAATGACCATTCCAAAGGATTGTGCAATGTACGCTTCATCACATGTACAGATGAAATGTCTTTCAATGGAATGGTTGTAAGCCTCTATTCCTTTGAGATTTGTGCTTTCTATTACATGTTCAGAAAATCGGTGTTCCCTTCATTCCGTCCTTCCAATGTTACTTCTACCTCAGATACATGTAAATTTAAATACCCGGGTAAAGTTAAAATGAGAAGGGTAGTTGTTGAATTTTGATGGCACCAAAGAGCATTCTGACCCATAAACAGAAAGCAAATTGGTTGCGGATAGGCTCTGGAGTATAACCATGACACTGAAAGGTTACCAGCCTTCAGATAGCCGACAGTTTAGTAGCAGGCGTGTCTCAGATTAGAAAATGGATGTTATTCATATCTTTTGTCAGTTTGTGATGGAAATTTTTTTAAATCCTGGTAACTCTTCATACGTATACATAATGATCTAATGAACGACACCACAGAGATAAAACTAATTGTTTTTTATGTTTCTAAATGCCCAATTCTGAAATTTTTATCATGTTCACATATTTTCTGATTGTTATCAATCTGTAGCAAGTGAGTTCTAACTCTACCATTTGTCTGAAAAGCCTTATCTTTTAAAAACGTTTTAAATAACTTAATATACATTTCTTTCTATCTAAGAGCTATCTCTCGCAGCGTAAATTTTCTCACTTCGTATGAAACTGATGCTGGGATTAATTTCCAGTGAAAACATGGCATATTAACTATTTTTCGAGGTTTCTGTCAATAATTGGTGTACATATGTAATTTTTTATTAAATAAGCTGTTGCTCAATTTCATCGTATTATTATCGTATCGTCAATAAATGCATCAAGCCAACCGATTCCTTGTTTACTCACTAAGGATAAATTGAGCCTTTTATGAGTTTTTAATTAATAAAGCTTATATGAACACAGCTTCCACAAATCCCTGATTAAATGGTAAAATGAGGAAAAGACTTCTAAATCATTGTGCTCAATATTCCGAATTAATTTCACCTCTGAAAAATTGAAAGTTAACACTTGTAATCGTGGAAATATTTGAAGATATATATGTTGTTAATTTATTATCCCCCTGGATTCCGCGTGAAACATTAGGCTTCAACACCACACCTCCCTATCATCCCCTCCTCTCTAGTCCCCTTAAGCTGACTCCACGATTGACCATAAACTTTCATCACCTCCTAACACAATCTCCTCCTGCATGTCATCCCTTGACACATGCACAGCTCGACATTTCTCATTTCGCTTCCAATCGAACTATGGCCTGGTGCCTGATGTAACTGAAAGGCATTTTCAGCATGCGTCTAATCCATGCTTATTTCTCCAGCATACTTCTTAGACAATAAGTCCTTGTTTGCTGTGTTACTAGAGTCGCCTGTTGAGAATCCTTTCTGGGCATTGGATCTTCAGTATGGAACCAGCGAAGGCATCTGTTGATGAATGTTTGCAGCAGGCTTTGGGAATACTTCTGACAAATTCGCAGGGTTGGTAGTATGCTAACCAATCGCTTTAAGTTGGAAACATCCAACTGGAAAACAAAGCATCACATTATTTAACAATATACAATATATAAGAATATATAGTGTGCAATTAAAAAGTACTAAATGAATATTACACGAATTTCGGTTTCGCTGGTTATCAGCTTTCAAATTCTTCCATACATTTTCATTATTTCAAGAATGGATAACAGATTTATGAAATAAACAGTTTTTCAGAATACACCTTATACGGAATAAACTGCTAGATGTGTAGAATTCATCTTGTTTTCTTTAGATAAGGGAATAATTTTTATATCTTGTACGTCTTCTTCAATATGTGAATATCTGAAGAATAATTCTATGAGTGTAAATATATAATTAAGTTATTCATAAGTCACTTTTGATTAGCTATGCAAATTCTTATATCCATATCTTGAAAATATCTATCCAAATACAAATCAGGTCAAAATGGTAAGTTAAATTTCCTCTTTGAGTCAATCACTGAACCACTAGTTTTCTTATGAAATTGAGTCGAAATCACAGTATTGGTGTTTCATAATTATTTTTGAGAATGTGAAACAAATCTTGTATTGAAAATTAAAACAGGTGATTCGGCAAAAAGAGACTCTTTTCAATGAATTTATTATCAAGCTGCAATTAAAATGTTTGTGATTATAATCATAGGTAAATGTACAGTGGCAAAGCAATTAATGTCATATATAGAATAATTCATAGGATGGATAGAACTTGGAAGGGATGTGCAATTATAGAATTAGTAGGTAAATCGAATAAAATAAAACGTTACGTGACATTGTGTGAAATTTGATAACATAGAATTCAACGTTGCAAAACAGAATTGATTTAGAATGACAAGTGGAACGAGTGAAATAATACCGGGGACAATTTTAAAGTGAGAATAGTAACAGTAACAATCGGTGTAGTATTAAAGGAAGAGCATACAAATTGACTAAACAAAACGAAAGAAGTAGAGCCAACATATGATTAGGGATTACCATACTTTAGCATAGAGGTATTAAGACCATGAAAGTTGGAAAGGTTGAATGAACGTTTTCTGCATACCAAGATGTGGCTTTTCTGTTTCAATGGCTTGATTTGAGTAAATCACCTTTTGCCTTGTAGATGACTTTAAAGGCAGAGGTTGTATAGATAGAGTGATCAGTATCAACCAGACGCTCAATGATCACGCTTTTTAGTGCTCCACTTGCACCTCTGTTTTGCTAAGTTAAATTCGATGTTATCAAATTTCACACAATGTTACGTAACGTTTTTATTCTTATTCTGTTTGCCTACTAATCCTATGATTTCACACCCCTTCCAAGTTCTATACATCCTATGAATTATTCTATATATGACATTAGTTGTTTTGCCACTTAACATCGAACTATGGTTATAATCACAAACATTTTAATTGCATTTCATTTTTTCCTTCACGTTCCCCAGTAGAACGTAGGGCTTCAAGCTAGTGGCTCGAAGTTTCTTTAGCAGTGTTTATTTTACGGGATGGGGTTGCTAGCCTCATACCCAACCTTTCTTCTTCACCAGAATTATTTCTGGCTTAGCGAGGTAAAAGGGTGCGCCGGCCGGGGATCGAACCCCGGACCGTGTGCATGGTCGGCGAGCGTCCTAACCACTATGCCACCGACGCATTTCATACTACCACTATTATTTCATGCATTCACACCCATGATTACATTCCTTCACCGGAAATAATTTCTTAAAAAACCACATACATACGATTGTACAGCTTGATAATAAATTCGTTGAGAAGAATCTCTTTTTGCTGAATCCCTTGTTTTGATTTTCCATGTGTTACAATGGGAATTTTCCATGAATTAAGAAAACTTATATTGATCTTATTTGATAACAATATACGAAATCTGTATAATTCTGTGACTTTTACTCACAGCATTAATAGTTATACATTTATTAACCCCTAATCATTTTCAGACAACAGTGATAATACAAGAGGCAAGTTTACCAATTGAATGAAATTATACCTTTGAAACATTTTCCCCATGACTAAAACTAATCTCGGTGATTTCACACAACATAAGGTGGTGACTATGTGGACTTCGAAAGGTTTCACGATGCTGTTTATCAGTGTTGTGGTTGATTTTGCGTACATTCATATTTTCAATACAAATGAAAATAGGTAATTATCAAAAAGACTTTGAACTGGACAGAGTTTTAACCTTAACAAATTAATCCTGATCCCTCCTGTGAGTAAAGCTGAATACAACGTTACAAGCAGTTACTCTACAGGTAAATAATTTTACAAGGTATCGAGTAACAATTGTAGTGGACAGTGACTCATAAACTTCCTGAAACAATAAATCCTACTTACTTCTAGGCAAAAGTGACCTGCCTGCTGATGTTTATAAAAGTTTATATTTATATTGAAATATTTGACTGAGTGACCAACTTCACAGATTTCACAGATTAACAATTCACACAAAAGCCAAAATGTTTTATGAGTTCTCTAACTTTTGATGGGTGAGCTTTTCTATACAAGATGTGTTTAAGAAGCTATACAAGTGAATACTTAATAAATTTCAGGACTGTTAAGTAACATATATGAAACAGTTCTGAGCGTATTACCGAAATAACAGAAGAAACGTCAACGTAGAGCGAGAAAAGAAAACGGTTGGGATAACAACTCATTTTAACAGATCCATCAGCAGTAGATTTCAGTATTAATTAATAACTAAAGAAAAGAAGTAACTGCATTAATAAAATTACACCTTCCAACAATGGCTGGGAGGGGCGAATGCAGAAAAGCAGGCATAGCAGTTTAAATAAAGGATTTACATAAATATTCATTTATCAATTGGGGTTACGTAAAGCTACACTGCGAAATTTCATCCATTTAAATTGTTCTGTGGCCAAGAATGAGGAAAGTCACATCTCACTAGATGGATAAGACAACAAACCTCCAAAATGAGAGATTACTTTGATGTGGTTGTGTTCTCTGAGCTGAATAGTTAATTTGCGAAGCTTTCATCGCCCTGCTAGGTGACATCTTCAGCGCATACTTCAATTTGAAGTGAGCTTTTAGATTGAAGTATGCGTTGAACATGTTGCTTAGCAGGGCGATGAAAGCTTCGCAAATTAATTATCCAGCTTAGAGAACACAACCACATCAAAATCATCCACCTGAGCTACAAATCTCCTCTATCATATCTGAGAGATTACTGTCAAGCATTTATCATATTGACGTTGATTTCACCCGCAAATGCCCTAGGATTGTCTGCTTTCCTCTGTAATCAAACTTTTGCGACTATAGTTAGACACTACTGACTTCATTTTTCTTTTGATTTTTTGAAAGTAAATTATATTTCCGGAATTGTGAACTATACAAGTGAAGTAGTGAAGAGACTAGCTAAAAATCTGTGTTCAAACTGAACACTATGATTGACTACTGAACTTTAAAACAAAAAAAAGAAATGGTGCTTGATAATTTGTTAACCAATCTCAGTCATTGTCTTTTTTCAAGTATTTATGATAAGCAATTATACTAAAAATTACTTTTTAAAGTATAAAATATTTCTTAATCTTTTTGCACTGACCATATATCATATCTACATCGTGATACGACTCCGTTGTCTTTGATAAAATTTCACAAGAATTTTGGTTTTTACAGTCTAGCTATATTTACGGTTTAATGTGGTTGTAAATCATATTTCATGCCCATAGTGTAGTGTGGATCCTATGTGTAGCTAGGTTTTGTCACTCATTGTCATGGAAACATCAAAAGCATAAACTGTTTGATAGTTAGCTAAATCCACCAGTGTTTCAAATCAATTTGAACATTTCGTCTCCACTTGTTTTTTTTCTTTAATTTTCACGTCGTCCACTTGATTGAAAGTTTAGGTCGTTCCTCAAGACTTTCTGTCAGCGTATTTGATGTGATCGACGTTCTCAAACATATAACATCATTAATGTTAGTAATTTTCTGTTTCTTTAAAACTCCACGACTGACTTCTTCAATTGGATTTCAACGAATTATGTTATTCTACCCAAATTTCACTACTTTTGTGTATGAAAACACATTCATTCTGTTCACTTCCCTTGACAGTCAGTATCTAGCTACTTTGAGATGGAATTAATTCTCCTACTGGAGTACTTTCAAATTTGTTATTCACTTCATTGTAGCTTCTTAAATAGTAAAAGTTCGAAATTTACACATTTTTACATTCTTTTCTTTGATTACTAGTAAACAACAAGACAAATATGGTCGTTCTCCACAGAAACACAAACTTACCACTCACTACCTTGTTAATCTAAAGTCCAACCTGGAACAAATCGTTCAGTTTTAGCTAAATAAAGGAAAGAAATTCTATTGTCATGGTTGTGTAAAGGCGTATTCACTCCTGGAGAGGCTTAGAAAAATCGTCAATAATAATGATTTGAGAGATAATCATCAAAACGTCCTGGTGAAAATCTTGCACCGGATTTAAAACAGACATCACAGATTTTGTAGTCACAGATAATATATATAAATATATTTACAGTTACTTTACGAAATGTCAGTTTTCTTAGAGTAGAATTCTATGGATGTTCTGAAAAATGTCTGAATTAACCTAGTAGTTTGAATTACCATAGTGTCTTGGTGCTTAACTTAGTTTTACTTGGTTTTATTTTTTTAATATTCGAGCGTTATTCTTTTAAAAATTAGTTTGATTTTTAAAATACGTTGCCTTTATCAGGTGATGATTTTTGGGTTTCAGACTACTTATTACTTTCTGATAAGTATAAAGAAATATCCAAATATATTCACACGCTTACACGGCAGGAATGTATTCACAAATAACTTTGTCGTATGAAGTTAGACTTTCTTTTCCCAGCTTCATTCGTATTACATTAAAAAAGTACTTTATATATAAAGATTCCTACAACTGCATTTCAGACAGTAGAAACTTCCGATTGTTTTGTTTAGCGTGACGCTTAGGTTCTTTCCTCAGTTTAGGGATCAAACTCAGTGGTACTTTACGAGATAGATCTCAACCGCCCACATACGGAGAAATATATTTGGAGTTTACCTAAACTCAATGTAGTGATCACTTCACTGTGGTCAGAAAAACGGAGTTAGGTTTCTTTGAGATAACTCATTATTGCATACTCCAGCATGGCTATATTCAATGCTGATTAGGTGAATAATCGATTCAGGATCATGGAATTGTTTCTCAGAAGTATTATTTCAGCATAAATGAACAACATATAACTGTCACAAATAGGAGGTTTTTTCCAAACAACGTTGGTGGCACAGCGGTTAGGACTCTCGCCGACCATGCACATGGTCTGGGGTTCAGTCTCCTGCCGACGCACACCTGATATCAATGGTCGGCCTGCAAAATTTGGGCTACCGATGTCACATGCTGAAAATTTCATACTTCTACCAAAAGTACTGTGTGGAATCAAGCTATAATAAGTAAAAAAATAAACTTGCAGAAGCTTAGTATTTCACTTTACCACTAAACTTTTGTAGTCGACTGAAACAAAGTTGATGAATAATCCCCATCCAGGAATTAGTGAAAAAAAAACACGTAGTTTAGCCAAAAGTCCCTTTTGATTTGTCTGTTTAGATTTAAACAAAGATCATTAATCTCCTAACTGATCGAATCCTTCTGATAACTGTTTTGAAAGTAACAGCAACAAATGAAGAGGGACGTTTTACAATTATACGAATCCCATACATTGCTTAAGCCTAGATTTGGTTTTAGATTTCCGTTTTTGATGTAGTTTTCATTGCCTAATAAGTCTTAAATTTTTCAACAGGTATTATGCTCATCAACTGCATACTCTTCATATTAATTTATTCATAACTTTATTTTATAACAGAAAGTATGTATTCATTGGATCGTTACTCGGGTAGATCAAGTCATAGACAATCTTTCAGAGAAAGTCTAGGACTTTCAGGTTAGTTCTTCTACATTTACTCTTTTACTGTCTAATCTTCTGTTATTGTTATTAAATGCTTAGAAATGTGAACTCATCTGACAATGCATATGGATCGCTGAAGTCAGCAGAAATGGTTTGACAATTAAGGATCATACATCAAAAATATATCTCAGAAAAAAGTGTTCTTATTAAGTTATTTACAGGAGGCTTTATTAGAACTCAACTTGAACTACGCTTTAAAAATTATTGCAATAACAAGATAATAGTTAACCGTAACACTTAAATGGAATATACTATGTAAAATATAATTCTAGGTCGTCTAGAATTTAATGTACTGTCTGTCCGTCTGGATTCAACATAGAACTTGGCACTGAAGTGCAGCAGTTTGAGTTGCCACGTTCCAAATACCACACAAAGGTAGACAAGAAAATGAGTGAAGAGAATCAATAGAGTTTTGACAAGTATAAGAGTGAAACAGAATGAGTAATGGTAGAAAGGAATATGAAAGATTACAGAGACTGAATACATCTGCATAAGCCATTGACAACGATTTTGAGCCATGTCACCTATTGTCTCCAGCCATTGATTCTTAGAGTCCCGAGGGCCCCAACCCGGAAGTCTGCATCTCCCTACCTGACTCAGTTTAACTGTCAAGGATTTCATGGATTGATGCCATGTTTTTGTTTGGCCACCACTTACTCTTTTCCAACCTGCACCTATATCAGCTAGTAATGCCCGTCGAGGGAGGCGGTGGTTAGGCATGCGCAGCACGTGACCTAGCCATCTCAATCTATGTAACTTTATAGCCTCGTCGATTGATTTTCCCTCTTTGCCCAACACTCTACGCCTAACGTCAACATTACTTACCTTATTATACCACCTAACGTGAGAAAGAGATCGTAGACATCTATGATCAAAAACAGTCAACCTTTTCATGTCTTCAACTCGTATTGGCCATGTTTCAGAGCCATAGAGAAGGACGGAGCGAACTGCTGAGCAGTACACACGTCCCTTGGTTGATAGCCGGATGTCACGCCTACGCCAGAGATGGTGTAAGTTAGCGAAAGCAGCCCGAGCTTTTTGGATCCGTGCTGAGATTTCGTCACCAATCAATCCGTTGGTGCTGATACAACTTCCCAAATAGGTGAAGTGGTCAACATGTTCTATCACTTCACTCCCTATCACTAAGCTAGGAGTTGACGTAGTCCAGTCCTGTAGCAGCATCTTACATTTTACAGGGGCGAATCGCATGCCAAACATACGAAGATTGCTGCTCAAGGTGTTCAGAAGACTCTGCATTTTGTCAGCATCCTCCCCTAACAGGACTATGTCATCTGCATATTCTAAGTCCATAAGACTATTCACTAGTAACAAGTCGATTCCTAAGTCGTTAAGTTCAGTTAAGGATACTTCCATTAGCGTATCTATGATGAAGTTAAACAGAAATGGGGAAAGTGGAAGGTGGGCATCCTGGCAAGGTAAATATTTTGACAAATGCAAAAAGAAACAAATAACTAGACGTTTCATGAACTTAAACTTACAATCACCGAATTAATCAAAGCAGTTGGAGTGAGGATCAGAGGTCGTCTTTCACCACACCGCACCAATGAATACTGCTTCATCTTTGAAAAGAGAAAAGTGACATTTTACAGCGATCACGCTGACAGTCTTTATCTGAAAAAAGCTAATATTAACTGAATAAGTGCTAATAAAATAAATCGAGGCAGAATAATGGGAAGATTTTTGCACGCCTTGTATTTGCCTCTCTTTTTTTCATAGTCAACGCCATGTAAATACATAAAGTTATATACAAATAGATTATTCTTTATGATGAAAACGGTCATCTGTCAACTGATTTGTTCAATTTTTTTCCTAATCTTTATCATTTAGAAAGATGTAAATGCTACTGGGATCATACACCCTATGCTCCAGACGGTAATTCTGTATTAAATGAAGAAACACGCTCAAGAGCAGGTTCAATGCGTAGTCTAGCCTCTAGACCCCCATCATTTGGAAATAATGACGATATACACTATAAACCTGTATATACACAAAGTACTGAAGATATGAATCCGAGAACAATTACCGTTCCACCTACCAACGGAGTAGGACTAGGAGGAGGAATAGGCGGAGGAAGAGGAACTCCAGATGATCTTCATGCTTCAATCTGTAGTCCAACAGTTATCAACTTGAATTTTATGAATCCAAATGAATGCATAGGTAAGTATCAACTAACAGATAAGGCATCTGCTTTTTCTTCTTCTTACACCTAATATCAAAGTGCAACACAGTATAACATTATGTTACCCAACTTTGTAATCACACCACACCTGATGCATCAAATGCAATTAACACCTGCGAATCGGTCATCATTCAGGCATCAGTTCACATAAAAACCCAACCCTACGGAGGTTACATCTGTTCTAGCTTAGATTATAAGTTTCAGAAGGTTGAGTCGTAAATTTGCTGATAAGCGTTCATGTTTTATGCTTGAAGTTGTGTAACCTAAATATAAGACAAGCTTTCTGGATTAGCTCTTGTATATCTAATATTATTGATTCAGTTTTTTGTAACATATTTATTACATTCTCTATGAGGGTCCTCCTTGGCTCTATATTTCATTTTAGTAGCATAATTTCTAGTGAAATGTTGACTGTTACGTTAACTTGTTTACTCACCCGTAGATAAATACGTACTTCGCATGTATCCAACATTAACTGAGTAGTTTTCGAGACTGAGGTATAAATGTGTCTTGGAAAATGCGTAGATGAGGAAGCCACCTTCTCCTCTGAGAGTAATTATGGTGTGGTTTTGCTATATTGTACATCCGACCTCGTATATCAGTAATTCAGTTGAAAAGTTTACGCAGAATAATACGACCTCTACTGTTTATGTAAAGATTCATTGAAGAACACAGCTAGCAAGGCACTGAAGCATTCGTATGCCGCACTATGCCTGTTTGCAACTAATTTCATATGTGATGTGAACAAATATTAAGGTTCGTGTGCACATCGGATATTATTATTATTGATTCCTTTAGTTCCTAGAGGAACTTAAAGCTTCAGCCACACGTCTCCTTTGCGTTCGGTTCTCTGCTAACGTTTTCACCTGGCTCCAAGTCTGCCCACACGTTTTCATCTCCTCTTCACATGACCTCCTCAAAGTCACCCTTGCACTGACGACCAACTCGCCGCTTCCCTTTCGGGTTCCACTCGAGCAATGGCTTGCTTAGTTATGTCACTTGATGGTTTCCTCAGAGTATGGCCAGCCAATCCATCTCCATTTCTTCCTGCCTATTTATTTGACAATCAGTTCCTGGTTGGTTCGCTCCCAGAGATCCCTGTTGCTGATCTTTTCTGGCCGGCCATCTGATCTTGAGTATTGAGCGAATACAACTGCTAATGAAGGTCTGTAGTTTGTTTGAGATGCTCTTTATGACGCGCAGTGCAAGTCTCTGATCCGTATAGTGAGTAGCACTGACTTCACATTGGAGTTGAAAATCCTGATATTATTTTTGATGCTGAGTGCTGTTGACCTCCACACAGACTTGAGAGTAGTGAAAGCTTGTCTTGCTTTTCCGATTCTTGCTTTGATATCCTCGTCAGTTCCGTTCGCCTGTAGTTGAAACGATGCTTCCCAGGTAGGTAAAAGAGGTTGTTTCTTCCAGGTTCCTTCCATTTATGCTGATTGTTGTTGTTGCTGTTGGTGGTGTTGCCCAGGAATCTTCATCACCTCTGTTTTCTCTATGTTCACCTGAAGACCTATCTTTGATGCTTCTTCTGCCAACTTGTTGCTTTTCGCTTGCATATCTTCCAGTTTGTGAGAAATCAGACATATGTCATCATCGGCGAAGTCCAGATCCTCCAAGTTTTTTGTGTGAGTCCATTTTACGCCTGTTTCCTCATCACCCGCTGTTTGTCGCATTATCCAATCTACTGCAATCAGGAAAATCACTGGCGATAGTAGGCAGCCTTGTCTTACTCCTGCACAACATCGAACAAACTCTTTTGTTATAGGTTGATCAGTAGTGAAGAAAATTTCCTTGCTGTTACATCTTCTTTCTACGTCTATAGGAAAGTTTCCACCCAATTTCAAGTATGGCGTGGGAACAAAAGCCTCAGATTTTGATAAAAATTCGCTAATATATTTAAGACAATCCGCTTAAGCATAGTTTATATTTATTTATTTATTTCACTTGTTCACCCCACAGCTAACGGTAAGTACACTGGTGTCTAACTGAAGTATTTCTGTTCGCTTCGTTTCACATTAAAATAACAAAATTCAAGTACTTATAATAATATGCATTTTTTGATAGTGGTGTACAGACAGGACATATTTTATCACGGAGAAAAGTAGATATATGGCTCCACTTTAGTTACACGGGTTCAGATGCTTACAATAAATAATATTAATGTCATCTAAGTGTTCAATATATATTTCTAAAAAACGACAGAAAGCTAAAATTTCAATACTAATAGTTTCTAAATGTCAGTAATTACTTCAAATACTAATCAACTACGAATAGCTGAGCTGATCAATACTCAGTACACAGTTTTTAGGATAAATACTAACAAAGCACAGAGAGAGAGCGGAGAGTAAAATCATCTCAGGTCAAAAAGATGCTGAATAAGTGTTTTGTCGCGTGTTGAAAGATATAACTGAGGTGATTAGACTAAAACAATGTCACCGTAATTTAATAAAGTACTGTTATGTTTGATTGGTTGTAGGGTTTCATCATGAGCTGATATCGGTTAGAGAACCATTGGAAAACAAACACTGGAGTACTGGACAGCTGTTTCGCCCTAGTCTGAGGCTATTCAGCAGTACACACCTACCGACAGGGGTTGAACCCAGGACCTTCTCGTCACAAGGCGAGTTCACACTAAGCAGTGAGACCCGATTCAGTGGCCAGTTCATGAATTCAACTTCTGCCAGTTCAGAAAGGCACACTTCTCAATATCTTCTTCTATGAGTTACTGCCTCACCTTCAAACTGCCATACTGATGAAGAGTCCCAAACTAGGATGAAACAGCTGTCCAGTAGTCCAGTGTGTTGGTTTTTCAGTGGTTCTCTAACTGATGTCAGCTCATGATAAAATTCTGTAACCAGTCAAGTAAAATCCATTTTCTTTTCCTTCACGTTCCCCAGTGGAACATAGGGCTCCAAGCTAGCTGCTTGAAGTTTCTGTAGCAGTGTTTATTTTACAGGATGAGGTTGCCAGCCTCATGCCCAAACTTTCCTCTTCACCAGCATTATTTCTGGCTCAGCGAGGTAAAGGAGGGCGTCGGCTGGGAATCGAACCTCGGACCATGTGCATGGTCGGTGAGCGTCCTAACCGCTATACCACCGACGCACAAGTACAATCCACACAAAACTAATACTTGAAAATACAGTGATATTAACATAATCGTATGATTTAATCTAAAACGTGTTATTAATCGGATGTGTTTGTACGCTGTTCATGTTGTTCAAGTTGTTAATCAATTCATGAAAGCATGTCTAACATTTAAAATTAATAAATTGAAAGTTTGTTTGAATAAAACACTTTTTTTAATTTACATTCTTAGTGACACATTCAAAACCAGGAGGTATTTCATTGTTTTTTTTTTCAATACTATATTTATTCATTTAATAAACACAACTATGACTTGAAATGTAGAAATAGATTCGTATACATTGAAAGCCGTCAGTTAATGGTTAGTAGGAATTTAGGAAGTCTAAATTACATGCCTGATCTGTGAATAGAATCAATGTGCTTCTTGCAATCAATCAGACAACACCTTCTGTTTTAAGTCGAGTGAGGTTTTTGACTTAAAAAGAGAGAATGTTTCTAAAATGATGTTTGATTAAAAACACACAGTGATGATGCCGTTGATAATGTTTTGAGCACAGTTATATATATATATATACATATACATATTGTTAGTGATCAGAATTCCTTGTGCTCTACCACAGTACCCTAATTGTATTCTTATATTTTTAAAAAAAAGCTTGAACACTGTATCACTCAGAAATAAGGACTGACATATAGCAATAGAGTATTTAGGGAATTATGCAAATGCTAACAAAGGTGGTATAAACCACCTACTTCAGTGCTTGAAACGGCAAAAAGCACTTGATAAATAGGCCTACAATTCGAAATACAGTATGACCATCATGGAAGATAAATTTGTGACTTCGCTACCGATTAGCAGCCTGTTTACCAACTGCTGTTCATTATTACTGAACATAAATTCGTTGGTGGTCTACTGTTACAATGTTCGCTAACCACCCATGTTGTCTGGATTCGAATTCCAGCTAGCGCACTGAAAACCCGATCAAGATGTAAGAACAGCAACTCGACTCCATAAAGTAAACAACACTACTTTATATCTCAAACTTGGAGTCTTATCATCAACCCCGAATGGAAGGCATTGAAAAAAAATCAATTTTTATGAGAGGAATAACCTACTTTAACTGAATGACATACGACTCTGTTACTGAAAGAGTGTGCACTTTCAGGCCAATTAGTTTTGTTAGACTTCTTAGAAGTATGATCAGAAATGTCTGACACTATTCCTTAATTGACAAATATACTGGTCTACGAGCTCGCCTTGTAACCAGTAGGTCGGGTTCGAATCCCGGTGGGCGCGTACTGATGAAGAGTCCCAAAATAGGACGAAAAGGTTGTCCAGTACTCCCAGGTTTTCCAATGGTTCTCTAACTGATGTCAGCTCATGATGAAACCCTCCATACAAATATACTGACATTGAATTATCTCCAAATGGATTGCTTCCTACAAATGTAGGTTTCATTTATATTATAGTCTTCACTTAGTTAGCATTTTCGAGACCAAAATTTATAAAGATGAGTTTCTTCAGACAATGAAGGATTCGCATCGTTATTATCCTGCTTCCCGCTACACTGCATGAACATACATACAAACAAGAGTGATAGCTCATCCATTCCTATGTTACGTTCAAGGCTGTTGTTTGTTTCGATTTGTGAGAAAAACTGTTTTGAAAGAGACGTATATTTTACTTCATCAATATCTGAGATAAACTGATGTATTCATATACTACTGATATGTGAAACACCTCACGTGCATGAACATTAAAAAAATGCTTTCTTGGCAAAGAAAACCTCAAATTTAAGATATAATTTTGAAAGGAAAAACTTTTGTGATGATGTTCAAAGGCGTTCAGAAAAAAAATACATTTCACAGTTTCACTATTTGAAAAATCTCCTGTTTTTTTTTCAAGAAATGACGATTGTCTCTCACTCACTATTTCAAAATGATATTTCATGATTTCATGTACACATAACTTTGCAGGTGATCTTTCTGGTCAAAATCGTGTTTCAATTAGAACATCACTTCGACGTCCATCAAGAAGTTCATCACCAATGTGTAGTAAGTAGATCAGAATCATTTTTGGTAAATGTATTCATCACTGTTGATACGCTAAAACTGGTAACAAGGCAAGGCTTGATTAGACTTACCCAGATTTATTTTCATTTAGCACAACTTTCTAAATGTTTCCAGAGTAAAAGGTAGTCATTAATATATATATATATATATATAATTCCTGCTTAAAGTCAAATAAAATTCAAGCGTACACGAAAACAAAATTGTAACCCATCTCCTGACATTCTAGTGGCACAGACAGTTGGTATGTTATTCTAATAATCTAAAAGTTGTGAGTTAGCGTCTCTCCTTCCAGCCTGTAGTAGGCCAGGAAAAGCGGAAAATCTAGTCTTGAGGTTTTAAATCCCACCCTGTAAAACACACCAATACTGCTGTGTCAGAGACGTATTATTGAAACTCTGATAATTTGTCTCTTCGTCTCCTAGTTTTAATGGGAGTTACCTCTATCAGTCCGAAGGTTTGTCCGATTAAAAAAAACAATAAAGACTATAATTAATGCTAATAAGTGTTATTATCTCTAGTAAATTCACATTGATACAAATATTTTTCTGAAGTTTAAAATGTTAATGCCTTTGTTTCACTACATCTTTGTCTTATTTTTCAATTTGTAGATGGATACAACTTTGAAAAAGATATTGTGATGGGAAAGGATATTTCAAGTAGGTTATTAAACTTCTATTAATTTTATTTAGCAGTAGTTCGTATCTTATGTGTTTACAGCTATAAAGTTTAAAGTCTAGCGATATGAGTTTCATTATGACATTAGCTTAATTGTATCCCTTTATGTCTCGACTTTGTATTACTGTCTCACAATAAAGATAGATTAGACGTACTCCGAGAGAACTGTTGATTGTCACCATACATCAGAGTGGAACCCTAGGGGGAAATGACAAGTTGAGCGTCTGAGGGCGTCATGGAGGAGATCGTGTGTGAATGAAACGACAGACTGCCAGCAATTGTGGAGCTACCTTAAGAGGACTTCAGAGGACTGAGTGAAATGAAGGTATTCTGCTAAAGACCTACTGAGTACATTTTATACGCTAATGAAGGTCATACTTATATATATATGGAAATGAAAGAATTTGAATTGCTATTCTCCCATGAATAAGTGATTACCCATGGTGATCAAGCATTTCATATGGGATCTTGTAGTCCTTTTGTCCTTCTATGGAATCTGGTTACCCATACAAGTGTTGTTAAGGAGATCCATCTCCTATTGAAATCTGGGAAGAAATCCCAAACCTATAAAAAAGTAATTAAGAATATATTTCACACTACAATTTCCTATAGACACTAAGAACGTTCTTTAGCCGCCCATATTGTCTAGATAATTTCTATTTTGAGTAGTTTGAAAATCCCCATTGAGTCATATGAAAAAGAGAAGACGTTCAGCGAAGAGACTCTTTTCGGCGAATTCATTCACATAGCTGTACAATCGCATTTATATATAATTATTTGTGTGTGTGTACATGAGGTTTGTCAAGTTTAGATAATTGATTAGTTAATACAAGAATGATGTAATATAGAGACAAAGTTTAATCAGACAGCAACTAAAGTAAGATTGAGTTAGTAAGCAAGATGACGTAATATAATTGACTAAAATGTTTCAACTTAGGTCAGAGTAGCAACAGAGATAATTACAGGTAGAGACTAAGTAGAAGTGAAATTGAGTAAATAAGTTGGATGACGTAACATAAATGACTAGAAACTGAGCGTTGTTCAAGTCAGTAACAGTGGTAGTGAGGTGTAGAAATTGAATCGGGTGGGGGTAGAGAACAAGAAAGTTGAAAATGTAAAATGTTACAATTGAGAAGACAAAATAATACAAATGAAGAGACAGAAGAAAAGATTAGGTAGAATTTACTTGTCGGCTAATAAGATAGATTACGTCCATTGCAAGTGAAGTGATTGAAAGAACTTCTTCTGTATGCAGAGTTCAAGATTTAGCAAGTCAATTGCCATTGCTTCTGCAGTTTGAAGAAGTCTGATTCGTACACCTTTAGGAAGACTACTTCTTACTTAGACGACTTTGAAGTTTGTTTGCGGTGTAGCTTAGTGTCCGGACTCTATCATATGTTGTAAGATGGAACTGCGGGGGCATTGATTTTCGCCTTTGTAAAACCATGTTGGTAAGTGCTCGGTGATACGTTTGGAAAGCGAGCGCTGGATACGGCCGACATACCTGGCTCCATACGAGCAGGTGAATTGATAAATACACATTGATGAGGCCAGCAGTGGTAGCTTATCCTTCACGTTCACATGAATCATAGGTTTTGTGGAGAAGGTTAGTCGTAGTTCAGCAGCGAAGAAGGTCTTCTTAAGTAAGCGTAACAGTGAATTTTTAGTGTTTCCGCAGATATATCTCTATTGAATTTCTATTTTGACCTGTGCAAAAAAAGAAGTTTTGGTTGTATTCTCTGAATGAATAGCCTCATGAATAAGAGAAATATACTATTAAAGAAATTAGAGCGTCAGAGAGCTAAACAGTTTCCGCGTACTGGAGAAATTCAAGTATGTAGAGTTTAGCAATAAGTTATTGTAAAATTACTGATTTGTATAATAGTGATGACTAAGAAGAATAAATGAACCGTCTTTTCAAGTATTAGTTTTGTAGGGAATTTTTTGGATTGGTTGGAGAATTTCATCATCAGCTGACATCAGAAAAGTGCCATTAGAAAACCTGGGACTACTGCACAGCTGTTTCGTCCTAGTTTGGGGTCGGGTCCCATTGGCTTAATGGCCTACGAGCTCGCCTTGTAACAAGAAGGTCCTGGGTTCAAAACCCCGTGGGTGCGCACTGATAAACAGTCCCAAACTAGGACGAAACAGCTGTCGAGTACTCCCAGGGTATCCAGTGGTTCTCTGACTGATGTCAGCTCATCATGAAATCCTCCAACCAATAAAGGAATGAATTGCACAGGAATACCAGGACACAGAGAGGCTGATTTAATTGGCTAAAATAGTAGTCATTAATGTAAGTGTGGAATTTGGGGAAATAAACTTAGCTAATATAAAATAGTAATCACAATAAAATAAGAATTTTAAGCAATAATTGCATAGACAGGGGAAAACAAATTCATAAGACTCTTCATATATTTCGTGGATGGTCATGAATCTGTTTCGAACGCACAAGTTTTGCTTATTCACACGAATTCAGATTGCCTTTGCTGTTTGTAAAAGTTGGAAGTGTTCGCTGTAATACGTCAAATAACAGATATGTTAAGAGTGAGGTCGTATCACAACTTCGGGTAATAGACTTTGAAAGGAACCAATCAAGTTATGCTCATATTTCGTCAGTTTTCTAATAATTAGTTCACGAGAGAAAAAAATCGCCTAATTTGCCTCTCCATGTGCATTTACCAGTTTAACTGCTCCTGTGGAGCTAGTCATTTGGGTGCATGATTAGATAAGTTCTTGTCGAATTTCAGAACTATCATCTTGTTAGACAGAAATGATGAGCGTTACTAGGCATACTATCTAGTGAACATAGTTATACAGATTCTGTACAAGATCTGTTACTAATGACCTGATGTTCACTAGGTGAGTTAGTATGGCGCTTACTAACGCTTCATTCAGTTTTCTGTCTAAACAAGATGAATGGTGTTCTGAAATTCGACAAGAAACTTATCTAATCGTGCACCCAACATGACTAGCTCCACAGGAGCAGTTAAACTGGTAAATGCACATGGGAGAGGCAAAATTAGGCGATTTATTATTCTCTCGGGAACTAATTATTAGAAAACTGACGAAATATGAGCATAACTTGATTGGTTCCTTTCAAAGTCTATTACCCGAAGTTGTGATACGACCTCACTCTTAACATATCCTGTTAACTGTGGTATTAAGAATATTGATTTATTTTCGGGACTGTAGGCACCCTCCATTTGTTGCATGCTGAATCGACGTGTCGATTCGAAATCATCAAAGGATATTTGTTCTACTTAGAAGATCATGAATATTACTGAGTTCTTGTTATTAAAATTTTATTTTTATGTTCTAAAAATATCATTTTTTTACAGTGAACTAATTATCTAACCATCTTTCTTTTGTGTTGTAGGAGGAATGAACTCAGAAAGTGAGTATACTGCCAATTTGATGTGGATTTACGGTGTTTGCTTCTGATGGTTTTTGCATCTAACTGTGTGTTCACATACTTTCCATTGAATATCAAACTTACAGATGAAATAATGTTTAGTCGGTTTATTTAATTTAATATTTGATGTGACTGACTGTCAGATATGTTGAATGACTTTTGTTGTATGAACTTAGAGTAACATATCTAAATATCACTTTAACTAATGTCAGCTCATGATGAAAATCCTATAACCAATCAAATCCCTACAAACCAACACTTGAATATCAATGAGATACTCACTAGCGACTTGCCCTATTCAGGTAGGTAGTTACCTGGGGTTCTAGTGAGAAGTCGTGACCAGTAGGGTGCAGCAGGTCGGGTGTGAGGACAAATACTCGCCGAAGACATTGGCTAGGGATCGCGCTATGTCGTGAATTGAAAGAAGTTAGAACTCATGAGCTGGCCATTGGATCGGGTCCCAGTGGCTTAATGGTCTACGAGCTCGCCTTGTAACCAGAAGGTCCTGGGTTCGAATCCCGGCGGGTGCGCACTGCTGAAGAGTCCCAAATTGGGAAGAAACAACTGTCCAATACTCCCAGGTTTTCCAATGGTTCTCTAACCAATGTCAGCTCATTATGAAATCCTGTAGCCAATCAACACACTACAAAACAACACTTTTACCTTTGTTGGATTATATTATAGAACAGCCACTATCAGCAGTACTTTTTCTTACTTGCATAAACTAATTCCTAGAATTTTCAGGTTAAAAAGTAGTTCATTCTTAGAAATCTGTCCATTCCCGTTTGGCTGCTTTGATGTCAGCTTCACCAGGCTCATTGGGCACTCTCCAAATGAAATCACTCATTTAAAAAATATTTAAATATTTATATTCTCATGTGATGAGATCCATCATTTCAAAATGTCTTGTAAAAAAATCGTCACACGAAGATTTATAATTGCCCATGATGTTCCCATTTTTTATGTGGATAAAATCCATTACTAAATGTTTACATGAAAATCCCAACTGCCAGTGTGTGTTGGCCGTGAGTTATTTTGTGTAGGGAGTCTGAATGAAGTAAAAACTGAAGAAAGTGTGAATAAAATCCAGAATGCATAAAGCTTTCATTGGTATTACAATGAATTCGATTTCATTTGAATACAGAAAATTAATAAACTATTGCCTCAGCGAAATTTAATTAGTCTATTGAAGGTTAAAGAGCCTATTATGTCTAGAAGTAGAGCTTTATGAAGAAGCCTTCAGCGCCTAACTGAAGACTAGGACAGATTGTTTTAGTGCGTTTGAAGGTTTCCCATCTCCAGATCTCATTATAATCACGTCATAACTCACCTCTGTACCACCACTTGAGACTTAAACATTGTTATGCAGCTACTTTATTTGTTAGTCAAAATGACACTGGTTAGCAAGAAAGTTTAAGTTGATTCATTCAGCCAGTAGTATTAAGAAAATGTCAAAAACGAGGTCAGACAATTACTTTAACTGATCTACTTCTCTACCATTGAGAAAGATAAGAAAAAGACTCAGATGCTGAGATTAAGAGTGATTAACAGTGTCATGTAACTGCCTACCATTTTCACTTACAAAAAAGTGTTATACAATACTTAATAGCTATTCACCTTTCATTGAGCATATCACCTATCACATTTTATTATTAAATAAATTTCTGCATACTAACACAGTAGAATTTCGAAAAATGAACATCTCAGTGAATAGCCTAATGGAATCAAAATTACGATGAATAATTGAGGAATTTTATGTGGAGGGACATAGCCTTCGTGTAGTTCACAAATTTTTTCCAAATTGAAAATCAACCATTCAGCCTGATTCTTCTAATGGTTGAAAACAGTTCACAATGGAAATCACAAATAAAATCCTTTGAGTTGACGGAACTTAGCACACACTTTTCCATTTCTTCAGCCTATTTCTTTGTGCATGATGAGTTTTACTGCTCCAGCACCGTTTCCAAATGTCCACAGTCTTTCTGTGCAAACTCACCAGCTTTTCTCCCATAATTCTTATGATTTGGAGACTACTGTGTAGGTCCCTCACTTTTAAAACTATTTAGTTGCCTAGTTGAAGCATAATGGGGATGATATTCACAGAAATGCGATCACATTTTTGAGACCTCCCTTTATCTGAATATGAACACAGAACAACTTGGGTGTTAGTTAACCTTTTGCACATGAAAATGCAAACTTCAACTGATCACAGCACATATAACACTGAAAAGCATACAGTTTTGTATAACTATGCACATTTTATAATTCTTCACATGGAAATATACTACTGAATTGGTAATTAATGAGTATAATCAGGTCCATTCTCATTTTTCTAATTATATCGAATACTGAAATGCGTATGCTGATGGCATTCTCAATATCCGTTTAAGATTTTATTTTCTATAATTTGTCAACTGAAGTATCCTATTATTATTATTACTGTATCCTTTAATTCCTAGAGGAACATAGGGCTTCGGCCGTGCGTCTCCATTGCGTTCGGTTCTCTGCTAGAGTCTTCACCTGGCTCCAAGTCTGCCCACACGCTCTCATCTCCTCTTCACATGACCTCCTCCAAGTCACCCCACCTTCGCACTGACGACCAACTCGCCGCTTCCCTTTCGGGTTCCACTCGAGCAATGGCTTGTCTAGTGATGTCACTTGATGGTTTCCTCAGAGTATGGCCAATCAATCCATCTCCATTTCTTCCTGCCTATTTGTTTCACAATTGGTCCCTCCTGGGTTGGTTTGCTCCCAGAAATTTCTGTTGCTGATCTTTACTGGCCGGCCATCTGATCTTGAGTACTGAGCGAAGACAACTGTTAATGAAGGTCTGTAGTTTGTTTGAGATGCTCTTTATGACGCGCAGTGCAAGTCTCTGATCCGTATAGTGAGTAGCACTGACTTCACATTGGAGTTGAAAATCCGGATCTTATCTTCGTTTTGATGCTGAGTGCTGTTGACCTCCACACAGACTTGAGAGTAATGAAAGCTTGTCTTACTTTTCCGATTCTTGCTTTGATGTCCTCGTAAGTTTCGTCCGCCTGTAGTTGAAACGATGCTTCCCAGATAGGTAGGTAGGTAAAAGAGGTTGTTTCCTTCAAGTTCCTCCCATTTATGCTGATTGTTGTCTTTTGTTTTTGTTCTTGTCCAGGAATCTTCATCACCTCTGTTTTCTCCATGTTCACCTGAAGTCCTATCTTTGATGCTTCTTCTGCCAACTTGTTGCTTTTCACTTGCATATCTTCCAGTTTGTGGGAAATCAGACATATTTCATCGGCGAAGTCCAGATCCACCAAGTTGTTTGTGTGAGTACATTTTATGCCTGTTTCCTCATTGCCCGCTGTCTGTCGCATTATCCAATCTACTGCAATCAGGAAAATCATTGGCGATAGTAGGCAGCCAGCTTGTCTTACTCCTGTTCTCACTTCGAAGGATTCCGTAAGTTTCCCGTTGTGGAAACTTATATGATTGGAAGACAGTTTATAAGGCTGAAGACATTACACTTCTTGTAGATTGACAATGCAAAACCACTAATTACGAAAGTAATTTTGAAGGTTTCTCCAGAATATTTCTCAGAGGCTTACTAAATTAGTTTTTCCGGATAAACAGTCAATTCATGAAACGTTAAATATTCCTCAAATCATTTATATAAATCACTAAGAAGTCTATCCATTAGGCTGATTGCAAACCTTTAGCATTGGTCTTCAGTAAATGACCAATTACAAAATATCTTTGGGGTTGTCGCCACCTTTCACGAACTCCTTATCTAATCTAATAACAACGTGTCGAAAAAAAGTATATGCAGTATGATGTCTGAATAGAACTGAGGCAAATGAAGAATTTGTCTCGAAAAGCAAAATAAGTTTTCGCTTCACCTGAATGTTCAATAAAATGCAAAACAGTTGATGTTTTCCTTCAGGTAACAAGAGTAGACTAACAGAAATGAGTGAGTACATTGATACTGTTTGCATTTATCAACCTTCCTTAAGAATACTACACAAGATAAAACTTTCCTCAGCCAGTCAGATTAAAATTTTTTGTAGTATTACATTTCACCATAGTTGATGACTTGCCTGTTAACTTTCTCAGTTTACGTTGGACTTTCTGTAGAACTGTACGACTGATGGAGATTCATCACAGAATGACAAGCTATGCAATAATCTAGTTTTCATTGTTAAATGAAGTTTGCTCGTCGAGTGTTTAGCGCAGTCACTGAGCTCAGGGATGTAAAACTTTGGTTCACAAATGCGTATTTTGGTTTTTATGTGAGATAATTTTATAGTTTATGCTTTAGAAGGTTAGTCTATGTGCGCCTCAACTGGTGTAAAAGTATCCAGGATGAATCTACGAGTAGATGTGCAGTAACATTAGACTTTTATAACGCTCTAATCATTTTTAATTTATCTATATGGGGCATAAATCTGACTGACAGACAATTAGATATGTCTTTGAAGAAGTCGACGTTTAGAGTAGAATAAAAGTCTGTCTAACCAAATGGACTTTCTATTTGTTCTCTTAAATTACAATATTCACCTGTCATATAGGATTGAATTTTATCTAAAAATACGACACTTTTTGAGCCAGACTAATGATGTGTCCATAATTTGATTCAATCACATATGAAATTCTATTCCTAATTATCTTGTTAACACACCATTTTTCATTTACTTCATTTTGACAGTTTCTGACAGTAAGTGTTATTTTACTCAGTTTGAGGTTGTGTTTTTTTCTTAAATCTTGGTAATGTGAATTCATTTTTACTGCTACTCAGCTGCTAACACGAAGGTTTAGAATAATAAAAGTCAGGGAAGTATTTGGTGTTGTCACAAACACATGGAATACTAGCCAGAAAACACGCGTTACTCCCCAAAACAAAGCATGGTTACTTTTTTGAACTCGTCTTTGGTTAGCAACAGGTTTTCCATCAAGCTTGCAAGTACATATAACATAGTCTAAAGGTATTTTCAGCCACTTAATTTCTACAGCCTAAAAATCTATTGTTCGTGACTTCAGCACCATCAACAACCATTGTCATCGGCAAGTATTTGTCCTCACTCCCAACCGAGAGGACTCCATCAATCACAACGTCTCATTAGAACTCCAGACAACTTCGTTCTGTAGACAGTCACTAGTGAGCACCAGATTCATTTTCAACAGTTAGCCTGTGGAGATTTGATCTGTTTCAAGTTTTGATCTCTGATTGATGTCAAATTAGAGATTCATTGAAAACTGGGGAGTGCTGAACAGCTCTTTCGTTCTAGTTTGAGAATTCATCGGCGGTACACACCAATCACGATGGTTCGAATCCAGGATCTTCTAGTAACAAGAAAAGCTTGCAGACCATTCAGCCACTGGGACTCGTCTCGGTGGCCCACGAATTCCTAATTCTACCAATTAATGAGTCAGGTGTAATCGGCTAAATGGTCTACAAGCTTGGCTTTTAACCAGAATGTCTTAGATTACATCTCCACTGGGTGCATCCTGCCGATGAATCCCAAACTAGGACGAAGAAGCTGTCCAGTACTCCCTGGTCTTCAATGATTCTCCAACTGAAATCAATCCGTGATCACACTTGAAACAAATCAAATCCCAACAAACTAACTCTTGAAAATCCATTATTGTTTTCATTTTAGTTAATTTTAAGATGAAGAATAGGTAGGACACTGAAATATATTAAATATGTGTATTTCACATAAGTAATCATGCGTTTCAATCCAATTCGCTAAAATGCCTGAGAGGTAACACGTCTTGAAACATCAGTCATATGATGAAATATCTGCCAGACTACTCAGTAGTCAGCAAAAAGTTCGAAAGATGGTGAAAACTACATCAAAAACATCATGCCTACTAGATTTTGTTGTTATCATTCCACTGAAAGACAGTTTAGTATGTTGGAGTTTTACGGTCATTCTTTATCAAGGAGGGTGGAATTACAATTTATACCTCCAAAATGGTACTACAACACAAGATTTACCATAGGCTGTGTTAACAGGATGGTGACAGATGGTATATTTTTACCTGCACCTCCGAATAGTAGATATTTCGGCTTCATAATGCAGACGCGATCATAGGCTTGTTACCAAAATTGTGAATCTGCAATTCAGGGGGAAAATGTGATACATTTTCTGCCGCCAATTTATCAACCCATCACATTATACACATCACAAGGTGAAAAATTGAGAATATTATTTTCAAGTATTGGTTTTGTAGGGATTTTGTTTGGTTGTTTGGAGGATTTCATCATGGGCTGACGTCTGATGCTCACTAGCCACTGGCCATATTCAGGCAGTTAACCTGGGGTTCTAAGAGGAAGCCGTGACGCGTGGGGTACAGCAGGTTGAAGGTGAGGTAGCAACTCATCGAAGAAGACATTATGAAGTGCTCGCGCTATGTCATGAATTGGCAGAAGTTGGAATTCATGGGCTGGCCACTGGGTTGTGTCCCAGGGGCCTAACGGTCTATGAGGTCGCCTTGTAACCAGAGGGTACTGGGTGAGTACTGATGAAGAGTCCTAAACAAGGTTGACGAAACAGCTGTCCAGTACTCCTAGATTTTTCAGTGCTCCACTAACTGAGAATATAATTATTAAGTATAATAATCTTAGCATAATGGAGTGATAATAATCACATTTATTCATTTACAATTTTAGGAGGCAGTTGTTATAGTAAGTCGATTAAATTCAGTGTAATACTTTGTTTATATGCCTGTTACTATTACAATAAATTTTAAATTGTCTGATAACTTAGCATACCTAAGACTTGCAGCCCTGGTAAAAAGGCTTACAGTAACAACAAAGTAATTTCAAGGCTAGTGGCCAAAATAATTTGGATTTTTTTCAGCTCAATTGTGTGTTTATGATTCGAACCCCATTTTGGCACAGATTTTCTTTTCAACTTAAATCATCCATTCAAGTACTAATATTCTGTTAACCAATGCTGTCCCTATCAACCTCACTATAAAATATGGTGAATATTAGTACAGACACGAGAGTGTAGAAGCGGCCATCCATTACATTAAACTGATATGCTTATCCGTGGCGAACATATTCACAATATTCACATTAAAGAACAGGTTTGAAAGTTTTATTTAGATGAAGCACGCTAGCAAAATTACATACTCATGTTTAACGTTGAGAAGGTGATTTAAATACTCTTTGCCTTGGCTATTCAAGGTTGTCAGCATAAGTATCAGTGAAACAAATCACGGTCAGAGTAATTCAAAAAGTTTGATACTGAATTGAAATCCTGAGTTGGAAAATCCTTCTGTCAAATACAACTCATTCAGTTTCTGAAAATCAATGTTTTCACTTATAATAGAGCCCGAAATACCATTATTTCACTCCTCTTAACCCCTTGGACATTTTCCACTACATGAAGAAAAAGATTGGATTTTTTCTGTATTCTGAATAGCGATTGAATAGTTGAGGTGAAATACAGGGGAGAGCTTTAATTGAGGATAGTAATCTCAAACATTTGTGCGTCGGTGGCACAGCGGTTAGGACTCTCGCTAACCATGCACATGGTTAGGGGTTCGATCCTCGGCTGACGCACTCCTATACCTCTCTAAGCCAGAAATAATGCTGGTGAAGGGGAAAGGATGGGCATGTGGCTAGCAACCCCATCCTGTAAAAAAATACTGCCACAGAAACTTCAAGCCACTAACCTGAAGCCCTATGTTCCACTGGGGAATGTAAAGGAAAAAAAGGAGGAAGATTGAAATGTGACAAGGAAACATACCCAAAGACACACAAGTATTCCTAATTCTTTTTCGCTATTAACATTATCTAGTGGACTACTGAAATGAAGTAGAAATTACCACTTGTTTCGTCGTAGAGCGAAACTATTCAAAGTATGCTAATGCGAGTGTGGCCTACATATTTTCCACGGGGTTGGAGTGAAATGTCTTCTGCCTCTTAGTTTTTGTCAATCCTCTGCCATCTCGCATGATGTCACTTAATAGCTGTCCTCAAATCCAATTAACTTATCATTCTGATTAGCGCTCTTCACTGCAATTTGTTTTGTGCTTTGGTCGACGTGAACAACTACCATGAAACTAAATATCCACAGTTATTTAGCCAGATATAGACATCTAGTCATCTCGATACTATTGTGCTTTGAATTTAGACGACCAATGTAAGTTAAAAATAAGTTGCGTTTGCGAAGAATCTAACTGAGTTCACGAATAATTTCCTCGTGAACCGTGAGTAATTGATGTTGCTGTGAAAATGAAAGCACTGGACAACTGTTTCTTCGTTCTAGTTCAAGACATCTTTAAAAAGCAAAAATATCATCCTATGAAGAATGTCATAATTTTATTTCATAGTTTGCTCAAGCACAAGATTTATTCGTGACTGACTTACAAGTCATAGGTGAATTTTTTTAAATCATGGAAAATTCCCATTGTAACATATAGAAAATCAAAACAAATGACTCTTTTCAACGAATTTATCATCAAGCTGTACAATCGTACATATATGGTTTTTTTTAAGAAGTTATATCCGGTGAGGGAATTGAATGATAGGTGTGAATGCATAAAATATTAATAATAATAATATGAAATGCAATTAAAACTAAAATGTCTGTGATTATAATCGTAGTTAAATGTCAAGTGGCAAAGCAAATTAATGTCATATATAGAATAAATCATAGGATGGATAGAACTTGAAAAAGAGTGTGCAATTATAAGATTAGTAGACAAATCGAATAAAATAAAGACGTTACGTAACATAGTGTGAAATTTAATAGCATAGAATTTAATGTTGTAAAAAACGGAATTGATTTAGAATGACAAGTGGAACAAGTGAAATAATAACGGGGACAGTTAAAAGTGAGAGTAGTAATAGTAACAATTAACGCAATAAGGAAGAGTATACAAGTTGAATAGACAAAAATGAAAAAAATGAAAAATTGGTAGAGCTAAAATATGATTGGGGATTACCATTCTATAGCCTAGAAGGATTAAGACCATGAAAGTTGGAGGGGTTGAACGAACTTTTTTCTGTACACAGAGATCTAGCTTTTCTGTTTCGATAGCCAAAGATGGCTTCAGCAATACAGATGAGTCGGGTACGTAAATAAATTCGTTGAAAAGAGTCTCTTCGCTGAATCATTTGTTTTGATTTTCTATAGGTGAATTTAACAAAGGTTTCCACCAATATATGTTGCCAAATATAAAAAGACTATAATGGACAAACAAGCATGAATATGGTATGAAGGGAATTTCACGAAGAGTAGAAAGGAAAAATTTCCTAGAACTCTGAATTTAAAATAGCACAGATTTTTTTGAGGACATTAGATAATGAAAAGTCATGATTAATTAGTGTCTAAAAGCCATTAGTTTAAAATAAATGAACAAAAATTTTAAATGATTTGACACATTGAAGTTTCTGTGAATTAATTAAAACTACTGAATTAAAGAAGAAAAGAAAAAAATGAAGACGACAGTTTATAAATGTTAACCTTGATTTCAGTAGTATAAACTTTTATTTGAAATATTCCGCAAATTTATTTTCAGTTCAACTATTTAGCATATCAAAATTCATCTTGTCCAGTCTTTAAACATTATAAATCACCATTTGATGGTTGGATTGCTGGGAGACTCTGAACCTAGATTATGTGTTCATTAGCACTCATCGTGAAAATGTACCTGTTGTCTTGAAAAAAGGACTGTCACCTTTCACCTGCCAATCTACGAGTGCCAGTAATGCATTCATATACCTTTAGTACTAAACTTTTCAGGTCCACAACTAACTACAGGTCACCGCCAATGCTTTCACACTATAATTACTTACAAAAGAAAGAAGAGATCAACTGCTTTTATGATTGTGTTTTTGAACGAGTTTTCATTTGAAATTTCTATTTTCTGTAACTGAATGAGTGTACTATTCTTATAATTAAATAAAAATTCCCTACTTTTACTTTATCTTTCCAGCTTGCGACAGTAAGTAAATTCGATTTATTTCACTACATTTGTGTTTTATTTCCATTGGTTCAACTCCTCAGAGTTACAGTCCTTCCTCAACAAAATTCTACCCTCCTAGGGTATTTCATACAGTATCCCAAAGTGACATGTGGTATTCAAATCATACGATTTAAGAGGACCAATAAAATAGTAGCACCAAATGATTCAGTCTGCGCCTTGGTTCTATACTGATAAAGTGAAGAATTAGGATATTTAGTTAGCTTTAAGGGAAACAATCATTTAATGTGAAGGTGTGGGCTTGTTCATCAAGTATCGGTAAAGTAGCAACAAATATACTTAGCAGCTACATGTATTGGGGTAGATGATCTCAGAGAATCGGTTGCTTAATGATCCCACTTATTGTTGTCGTACACATGAGTAAAGAGTGACCTGTGTAGGGAATGTGAATAGTACATATCCAATCACTTCCTATTAGAATTTGACAAAGCAGAAACAGAATACTAGGTAACTAAGACTACTTAAATCAAGATATTGTAAAAGTGAGGCTTTTATGAGATTTCCGAATTCATTGAGAAAAGACATAGTGTGTTGGCTCAACTGCAGCAATGATGAAATTAGTCTTTTAATTTATTCCACTTTTTATCTTATCAATCACTTTTATTCATTTGAAACATCCTAATCTTTATCTCTGAATATCTTGTCGTCTGTGTCTATATGATAAGCATGAGAAAGAATGTACATTATTCTATCAAAGTTCGCCGACTGAGCTCAAAAAAATGAAGGAATCGGCTATATCTCCGAGTGCGTGGAGGTATGTAGGTTATCTGGGTTACAAAAAGAACCAGACGTTAAAAAACAATGTAGAACTATATCGTAAGATAAACAAGAGTAAAGTAAATGCATTTACTTAGAAATGTAGTCACTGTGATCAGCTTTATTACTTCCGCTTTCTGTCAAACTTTTATTCCTGATTTACCTTCAATTCCAAAATCTTATAATTTGAACTTATACACTACAGCAGTCTGGTCGACTCTGAACGGACATTTCATCTTTTTATCTATCTATCTATCTATCTGTCTATCTATCTATCTATCTATCTATCTATCTATCTATCTATCTATGTATCTATCTATCTATCTATCTGTCTATCTATCTATCTGTCTATCTATCCATCTGTCTGTCTGTCTATCTATCTATCTATCTATTGTTCACCGATGCAATCCTTGAATTCCAGTAGAGCTATGACGTTTGGAAATAGAAGAAATTTGCTTAATATAACTTACGACTTTAAGATAAAATAATGTATAGGAAGGAAGTTTCAGAGATAACTAGATTGCACAATATAGAAACAAAGATCATATCACCTTTCACTCAGTATTCTCTAAGGGAGACAAGATGATGCATAAAAGTGCTGAACAAACTGTACGGGGTAATCCTTATTCTATGAAAGAAATAACACGTAATACATAATATATTTTAGTCTATTTTAATAATAAAAAAATGATAAACACTCGTAGAAACTCGTTTAATCAAGAAAACATACTTTCATTCTTTTCTTAATTTTATAGGAGGCAGCGTTTTGAGTAAGTCATTAAAAACCAATTGTATTTAACCCTTTGAATTAACTTTGATATAAGATAAGTAGTAAACTAACATTTGAGGGTAATACTGAGTAAATTAAGTGCTGACGTTCAATTATCAAATTAGAAAGCTTCTGCATGACAACGTTTTAAACTGTTAAGTATACTATAAACGATTTATTGCCATTAGAAAATGATTTTGGGAGATTGAAATCATTGTTATAAAGAGGGAACCGAAAGCTTGCATGTTTCCTGTCAATATCTGTGTATTTCTTTCGTCAGTTACGATTACCCCAAACATACACTGTCCGGTAAACAAGAATGCTACAGACGACACATTAAATAACATTGACGCAGACAGTAAACAGTAAGCAATGTAAAGCTGAGCTACGAATTTCACTGTTAGTCCTAGAAGTCGGTAGGCACAATCATATTCTCAATGTGATTATATTCCCCTTCACTAGTGTTATAGTGGGATAGAACGTATCAGTTTCTCAATAGTTTTTCATTTTTGCACGACTTCATAAAAATTCGATGGGATCAATGAATGGAAAGGTGGATTATGTAGTGATTTATAGTAGGAAAGTTCTAAACCACAAGACATCCCACTAGGTTGATTATAGAGTCTCTAAATTAATTATGTTCCATATTTGGTGAAGATAAAACAAAAGTGCTGCACATTTATGTTAATTTGTGCTACGGTATGAAACTCAAATCGAACTAGATTTCTTGCAAATTGGTACTCATTAATATATTCTACGCCAGACAACTTAAGGATTCAGGCTTCCTTTTTGCAATCCAGCCTTGTTTATAATCGTGTATTCTGAAAGCAGGCAAATCTTTATCTAAACATTTCAAAAGTATTGCTACTTATGACAACAGTTAAACCTAATATATGTTAGTTAACCTAACAAAATGCTGCTGTTTAGTTTTGTAACACTGAGATAAAGAAGTTAACGATAGTTGAAGAGATAGAGCATAATATATCCACGCCATATTACCATCATTACACGGGAATGGTGAAACTCTAAGCAGAAAACACAGTTCTGAAGGCACCGAGTCATTCACAGTATGAATAAATTATTAACGTAAAGTGAATATAACACATATAGCTTATAATAAGTAGTATAAATCTATAAACATAAAATCCACAACGTAGTATCAGAAGTATCAGCACAGTGTGTCTAAAAAGATGATTGAAATGATTGGTAAATGTATAAAACCTATGGAAAGCATAAGCCTCCTCATGGTTGAAGTTTCTCTTAGTTGATCATCGCTGATAGATAAGAAACACTAAAAATATGTCCATTTTGGTATACAACATATTTGACTGCTTGCTTACAATGGACATACATTGCTGAAAAGTCGCATTTGATAAAATCAGCGATCAACTCATTTGCAAACTGAACAGCTAACGGTAACCGATTTTCACGCGTGTCATTAATAACTTGTTCATTGAATATTGACAAATTCACTCTTGATTAAACAAGGCCTAACCACTTAAATTTCAGGATGAACATTACTTAAACTTGACATTTGTATGCACTCCCGTGAAAATGTATCCTGTCAACATGTTTTAAGTAGGACACTTGATTGTGCAACTTCTGGGCACTAAGGAACGGCTTGAATTTAGAAAACTTTCAGAAATAGACGTTGCCTAGACAGTTACGTATAATGAATCATCAGATAACCATTTCATGGCAGTTTATGATCCTTACTGAACATAATATTTGAAAACATTCGCGAGGTTATAATTTTATTGATCAAAGTGCTTACCGTAACCATCGCAGATATAACGAATTATTTTCATACTCACTCATTGACCGATTTTCTTGTTATAATTAATAATAAATTCCCTATCATAATATGACCTGCACCAATAGCAAAACATCACACCCATCTATCAGGTCACACTTTAGTACTTCTTACTAGGAGCAACAAAGTGATCATCATAAGATAATTACAATGAAACGTGAGATCAAAAGTGTTGCCTACTAATTCACTTCCAAAGTGTACACTAAGGGGCTTTACATCTATCCTAAGCAACCACTGTCAAACAAGCCATGTTCATTATTATTTACATTCTGGTGTTCCTGCTGCAACTTACTTATCCGATACAGTTTTAACATACAAAACAGTGTGAAGCGTAATTAGTGTTTAGGAGCTTGCAGTATTACTTGCCTTCCTAGATTTAGTCTTGTCAAGTGAGATCAGAATCTACATCTCATAAACTGTGAGACATGAAATTACACCAAATAGCCACATGTCAACAATAAGACGGACACAGTGTCTATACTTGTTTCTCTCCGTTTATTTCTCGCTGGTATTCTTGTACATCTTTAAATCATTACTTGATCCTTAATGTGTGTTGTTTTCTGATATTGCAGGAAGTCCAAGTGCTTTGGGTAGGGGATCTCAATACTGCTCATGTAAGTTGAAATCTATTCACTTACAAAAGATTTTGTCATTCTACACGAAACATAATAGCTTTTGATGCTGGGACTATCTGTGGTAGTCTGGGACTGACAGGACTATTCTTGACATAGTGACTGGTGGTAGAACGTGAAATGAAAATGTGGGTCATGTAGCATGTGGCCCCTAGTTCAGCTGGTATATATCACTAGGGTAGTAGTTCGGAGGGTGCTGGTTGAAATCTTACCAAGACCAGGCTTTTAATTCACACCCCCTACAAGAAATGTTCTCACCAGTTTCCATTTAGGTCTGTAAGAATTACCAGACACAGTTTCTGTGAAGGCAGAGACGAAAAACATTTTCCAGTAAATTTACTCATCAAAAGCTGAGTTTGCTGACTCAATGGGACACATTCCATGAAATATGACGTTCAAGGAATTCCTACATGAGTTTGCTTAAAACAGTAATAAAAAAGTAAGGTGTACATTACAATAGATGATCTGATTATGAACTTCTGTCACGACTGAGATTTATTGTTTGTAGTAATTTCATTGCTATGTTATCCTACATGTTTATCGGCTTTAGAATGAATACATCCACCCAATTTTGGAAGTTTAGAGAAACGAAGAGGAAATACACTTGCACTAAAATATATAAGCCTAACTTGTGTACTCGCAACATCCAACTGCCACTGAACTTGTCCTGCTTAGACCAGATACGTCACTGAAATCCAAATCAAGGCAAAAAATTGATCATTCAAATTATAAGGTAGACTTCCGGGATCATCAATCTTCAGTGATGATGTCTAGTTAGCTAGCTAGAATACTGAATACTCTGATTCCCTTTGTGCTGAAGTTAGATTTTTAGGATCCAGCTACTTTTACTGATAGTAAAACAATCCTTTTGGGGAAAGAAAACTATCATTATGTTCTTCTCAGTCGGTTAGTTGTAAGATGCCTTAAAACGAAGAATAGTCCTTTGGTTATGTGAGGCATAATTCGGTAAGTATTAACTAAAATTGCATTATGCGACTAGTTAATAGTTCTTTTGCATATACTACGATGTACTGTTTAACACTGTTGAACACACACCCATGAGCATATATACAGTTATGTTCTTCAGAAATATTCAAAATAACCTCAGTATTGATAAATTGTCATTACAAATTCATGTGGATGTTAACAGAAGAAGAAGCAGCAGATGTAAGAAAAGGCATTTCAGATAATTTTCCTTTTTGTCTACAGTTATAGTTCCTGTTTCTTCATCTACAGACTGCAAACAACGAGGTCACAATAGTAAGTACAAAAAATTAACTCAGTTTTTATAGTGTTTGATTACCATACTTACAAATTAGTTTGATCTGTTTTATACATAACAAACACGTGGGGAAATTGTTTGTAATTTGTGAATTATGAGATTAATCAACAACAAAAAACAGGATCTAATTTGGTTTCTTCTTTATCTCTAGTGTTCTCCTAAGTGAAAGATAAGTTTTGGTAGGCACAGAAGTGATCTCAGCACACTAAAATTCTTCACCTCATACAGAACATATGAATAACTATGAAATGATTAATTACTTTGAAGTTCATATCTAACATTATCATTCTTCACGACAGCATGTCATTTCACTGAGATCGATACTTACGGCACTGAAGTGTATTCTAGGTCCAAATCAGGTAATAAAAATCGTGTATTCATAAGATTGTGCGTCCGTGGCTTAGAGGTATTTGATTAGGAGTTCGAACCTTTACTTCACTTAGCCGGTAATAAGACTGGTAAGACAGAAGGTTGTGTATGAGGCTAGCAACCTCACCACGCAAAGGTAACACTGCTGTCACCGAAACTCCAAAGCTCTAGCTTGAAGCCCTATGTTCCATTGGGAACTTAAAGGAATAAAAATTTTAAAACATCATAAAGTGTGTGGTATGAATGATAATTTGATAAAGACACCAGATGTCCACAATGCCAAGACCTAGATTTTATGAATTCTGGAAATAGTTAACACCTAAAACAGCTACAAAGAAATAACCACATTACGTGAAACAAGTTCGAATCATGATTAGGAACTGTTAATTCTAAAGTCTGTTTTTTATGAGTTCACCTAGTTAAACCTATGATTTTCAATAAACAACCAAGTTTGTGAAAGCGGTAAATGGTTCATTTAGCCTAAGTATTTGAAGACAAGCATACGGTTGAAGACAAAGTAATAAGTGAGGTGCGAAACTTACTTTCTTGTAAGTCACAAAGAAAAGAGGAGTGACAGTTCAGCAGAATACATAGTGTTTTCGAATACAGATTGCGAATTATGTATTTGACTTCACGGATGACAGAATCGAAAACATTTGTTTATTTCAAGTTTGACCACGGATTGATATCAGTTGGAGAATCATTAAAAACCAGGGTTTACTGGATAGCTCTTTCGTTCTAGTTCGAGACTCATTGGCAGCAAGCATCCACTAGGGTTCGAGGTCAGGACCTTCTAGTTACAAGTTATGTTCGTTGGACATTGAGCTACTGGGATCGACCAAATAGCCCATGAATCCTAACTTGTACCAATTCGTGATTTTAGTGCAACTAATGTAATCGGCGAGTATTTGTCGTTATCCCTGACCCGGTGGGCCCCAAATTGTCATACTTCCGAAACCCAGTAGGTAGGTTCTGCCAATGAATACTAAACTCATGAGGAAACAGCTGTCCAGTGCTCCCTAGTTTTCAATGGTTCTTTAAATGAAACCAATTGGTTATCCAATCGCTAATTGAAAATGTATTTGTTTGTTCGCCGATCAGTTTAATCTATCTAAATAGCGAGTCAAGCAGAAGAGAATATATTTAGATGAAACTGCGTAAAGGTGTTGATGTTCTTGCTTTGGTATTATTCTCTAATCACCAGTGGAAACCAAACTGTTGTTATGTACACATTAAGTCAACCTAGAAGTAGTGTTCCTACCTTTTATCGCCTAAATATGATACGAAGCTAGTTGCGTTAAGTGTGTCTATCAAAGACTTATTTGGCCTATTATAAAAAGAATATGTTTATCACACCAAGTAATGCAAATATCGAATATAATTTGGGTTTAAAACATTTTTATATACAGATTAGTCACGTCTGAAATGTTTATAAGGCGGTTTAGGTAAAATACTTCACAATATGTTTGTAATGATAGGCATTTTTCGCGATATTTTGTGAACATAAGTACCTTACTATTGAGATTATTTATGGAATAAGTTGCCATAACTGAACGAATCATAGACTTAGTGAACACACTATATGGGCAAAAGAATCATTACTGTTCGGCTGGATATATATTGAAGAGTACTTGCTTCAAGGAGGTGGTTTAGAGAAGGTGTCAAGAGACCACATGCATCAGTTTACTGCATATGTTTGTCACAGCTCTGTCGAAACAAGTGTCTTCTTCTAATCCTGAATCATCTAATTTTATGTCCTAAGACTGTTCCTTCTTTTCTTTGTGTTCATACTGTTCTCTGGCATAGAAGACAATTTATTATTCGTGATCGATAAAGTGCTTATTTATCCTATCGAATGTCTTCACTTCCACCTATATTTATTACCTGGATCATATATAATTATATTCATACTTGTCCTGTAAACCTTTATCTTTTATAAAACTAGTCCTATTTCTCAGAGTATAAATTTTTATTGAATCATTAGGAGTCACAGTTGATCTAAAGATGGTCTCTATTCAAAAATTCTTGAACTACCAAAACTCAATAAACTACTGCTTTCTTAGTTGAGCATTATTCGAAACTTACTGAAATTGTCACCAGTTGGTAGAATTAATATCAGCAGATATGATTGAAAGCGACAGGTTATACGCATGAGAACGACGGAACACATTTTGTGCATTCACACCGAGCGGAGATTTCCATCTACTACGATAATTTGTAAACATCCATAAGACGGTTATAATTCATTAGTTGTAAATACTGAAAAATTTCATACAAATAATTCCCCTTTCTGAATTTGAATAAAGAAAGGACAACAGTGGTTTGTGCAGAATAAAATATGGCACCATCATTTATTTCGTCGGTTTCTCATCAGCTGAGTACAGCCTAAATAAATTATTAAGTTTATGTGCAGAAAAGTTTTAACTTACTTACCAATTTTACATGATGTCAGTTGACAGAAGTTTCCAAACTTAATGAACAGTGCCCAGAAAATTACGCTTATGTAGTTTTTTTACACAGGCAGTTCAAGTTTAAACAATGTAAATGTATGCATACAATGGTGAGGGAGTTACATAATAAAGATGGGAGATACATAAGATGATGAGTAACTAATAAATTGGGTGACAATGGACTGAGTTCAACTCAAATCATAGAAACAAGAGACAAGCAAAATTATAGATTATAAAGGGGGGTGAGGTTAAAGCCAAAGATTACTTAATCAAATGAAAGAGAGAATAAAGACATCCAGTCAGCAGAATGGTTTCTTTCTGAACACGTAAATCGAGTTTCAGGCGTGAGCAGCTGACGAGAAGCCAAAGAAATAAATGATGGTATCATATTGTTCTGTAAAAACTGTTGTGCTTACTTTATTCAAATACTGGACATCACATGGACTGCCAACAAAGATCTCTAAGATAAATTTAAAACATCATTTTACAGAAAAAATTTCCATTGTTCCTGGTAATTTCTGTGACTACATTTCCTTAATCTATAAACTTCATTTTTAAAATAACTCTTAATCTATCGCTTCGCAAAAAGGAAAATTTCAATCAGGTGACTACGTAATAAAAAAAGGTGCTCACTTGACTAACTCTTCCGTTTTTCTGTGTTATTCAATAATTATGCAAACTAGTGATAGTCACTCGAAGACATACACCCACCTAGTGATTCTTCCGTCACAAGCAGTCATCCACAAATATGACGAATAAACTTGTGTCGATTAGCTAATCAGAAATCTTCCTTAAGCATTTATCTTCTCTTTATGATATTCCACTTTGTGAAATCATTTCAAGGCTGTTTGTGGCTGTACTGACTTAAGCCTAAAGCTTGATTTATCTATTTTTAATATACTTTTGTTTTCATCATAATGTATCTTTGGAACTTATGTCACTTAACAAACAAACAAACATTCACCTATGGCAACATCATTTACACCAATCAAGGGTATATCTCGAGAATATGAACTACAACAATGAGTATGGTAAGATGAAGTGTTTTCCCTAGTACTAACACGATATCGATTGCATCATTATTCATTCAGTAGATATTCTCCAGTAGACTGGTAGATAATTAACATGATGATTCACCCGGGTTGTATAATAATATTGTAGATGATCTGTTTTTGAAATAACTTGTGTGTCTTAATAAAATCATTTAACAGTACATTGGTAAATAAAGGCATACATTATCGATCACCTGTCTAGTTTGTTTACAATCCATTCTCATTGTATTCATTCCTCAAAACATAAACTTAGATTTTGTGTGTTTAACAAAATTTAGATTATCATTTCAATAACTAAAAGGATGTTGACTACTGGTACCTAATAACTAGTAGTACGACAATACCTCTTTTTTTTAATACTAACAGATTAATTCTGCATTTTTAATATTCTTTTGCAGTTGTTATCGAAAGGGACTACAGAAGTAAGTTGGAACTCTCGTATTGAGCATTTAACAGAGAGTTGGCAAAGTTTTGTGTAATATAAAAAGTCTACAGTGATATTTTTATTGCAAACTAAATAACTTTAGATGTGCGTCGGTGGTATAGCGGTTAGGACTCTCGCCGACCATGCACATGGTCAGGGGTTCGATCCCCGGACGACGCACTCCTTTACATCGCTGAGTCAGAAATGATGCTCGTAGAGAGGAAAGGTTAGGCATGAGGCTAGCAACCCCATCCTGTAAAATAAACACTGCTACAGGAACTTCAAGCTAGTGGCTTGAAGTCCTATGTTCCACTGGGGAACGTGAAGGAAGAAAAAAACTTTAGATAAAGCAATCAGAAGACTTAATTTGTCTGAATCATGTAATGTATTTGCGCGCACAACACATTTCGAATAATCTGATCACACACGGACTTGTCATAGGAATATATATGAAATTTAATAAAGAGTTAAAAAGGTGAGAAAATAAACCACTTAGGTCAAGTTAAAAGGACATATTGAAGGTCAAAATAACAAATAAGCCAATATATCCATCTAAGCCCTTTGAACCATGCGAAAAATGATGTCACATCCCATTGTATTCATCAATTTGAATGTACATGTAGCCAGATATACATAGGGAGGACTCATCGATCTCTTCAAGTTAGGGCGTCAAAGGATATTCACAAATGGCTTCAGAAGCAAATAGAATCCCCAGAACCCATTTATGGTGAGAATAGGAGACTTAGCTCCTCTATTGGGAGATATATTATAGAGATTTGAAGTGAAACTGAAGTTTACACATATTTCAAACCTATCTGTTAAACGTGTTTTGGGCGAATCCTTAATTTTGTGGAAGCGTTAGCATTTAGAAAGTTTAGAACCACCTTTATGCGATAAAAGCAACAATTCGTCATCACACTAAACCTTCTTTGGTAAACTTTGTTTTGATACCATAGCAGATGTACTATTACCTCCGTGTTTTGGTTTAGTGGTCTTCATTGTTATTTTGACCTTTTAACTTGACCTGAGTCTATTTTCTCACCTCCTAACTCTTTATTTATTTAAAATGCATTCCTATGACAAGTCCGTGTGTGATCAGATTGTTCGAAATGTGTTGTGAGCGTAAATAGATTACACGATTCAGACAAATGACATCTTCTTTGTGCTTTGTCTAAATTCATAAAGGGAGCTAATTGTTTTAAATAACTATAGCTGTTCGCAAGAAGTTGGGTTCTGTATAGTCGATATTCTCCATTGCTTACCAGAATAAGATCAGTCATTTTAAATCTTTAGTTAGGATTTCATTAGGTTACTCGAGTGAATTTAGTGGCATTACTTGATTTCATGGAGAGAACTTACCTTAGGATTATGGAAATAAGTTCAGTAATGTACATGCATAGTCATGGGAATCTATGGCTTATAACGGACCATTTAGTTGGCTTTTGTTACTTAACTTTCTAAACTTCCAATGGACTTTAATCAAGTACCAACTGTATGGTTCTCTCCTAAGTACCACTTTAGAAATGTTGGCTAAGAATAACTGATGACCTGATGATCAGTTGCTTTTGGGACAAAGAATCAAACTTGATCAGCAGATTTTTACCGTTCTAATTAACGCTCACCTTTTTTTAATTTTCCATTTCCTTCGTACTCCTATGATAATTATTTAAAATCTAGTTATCTGTCCACCTCACCCTTAGTATTACGTAACTTTTAAGATTTGATCTCATTTATTTGTTGGATTGCAACAATATACACATATTATTACCCTTGTTATTCATATCGCCAGTTGCATGAACCTTATTATCGTTTTTTTTTGTTATCATTATAATCATCGTTATTACCGATCTTCGAAACATTTAACACATTATTGCTATTAGTTCATCCACAAACTCACCGTCAGTAGTTAAACATTTTAAGTTTAAATCCATCAAAATTAGAGTAAAGCCTGAAGAAGATCTAACTGAAAGCAGTATCGTTCGTTTATATGTATAGTTCTAATATTAATAATGGGAATATTTAAAGATTCAAATGAGCGAAGGTTAAGACGACAAATATCTGCAAATATCCCCTGACTTGTGCATATGCAGTTGTGGATATGGATAGACCTACACAAGGTGCTGGACTCTGGTACAAAAGTACGTCTGTGTACTTTGTCACTGAAACCAGCATATCTGCAGCAACAATTGCTTCCAAAGATTATTGGCAAGAAATAGTCGTACGAGTATCGCTTAACTTTTCAGTTAACATCCTACTTCCCAATTAACATGATGAAAATATTTAAGTAGAATTGTGACGAAAGTTAAAGATACCTTCAAGTTATCTTTTTGCACATGATTTTTCACATTCATTTCACTGACTCACAGGAATATGACTACCTATTCTTAAATTTTTTACAGGGAATTTTCTGTGACACTTGAGAAATATTATATATATATATTCAAGCAAAAGATCTTTCATACACTTATTCCCCTTAATGAATTTGAACAAAGCAAGAACTACACTTTTAGCAGAATAAAGTGGTACCATCTTTTAATTCGTTGCCTTCTCGTCAGCAGCTTACAGGGCAAAGACATTATTAAATGTATCTACAAAACAATTTTAACATGACCAATACTTGAATTTTAACATACTTGCACAGAGTTCATTTTAAACAAAAATCAGTCGATCAGTATATGCATACACTAATAATATATATATGCAATATTAAACACTATTTCGAACAATAACAATCATACACATTGAAGACTTTTCAACAACTCACATTCAGATGAAAAATACCTAGTTACCAGGGCAAAGAAAGACTGATAACCGCTTATTTCTTAACGCATAAGTCAGGTTTCAGGCACTTGATGGAAATGGCTTCAGCAAACTTAGAAATGAGCTCTTTTGCTTACTGATAATTTTGAGCGACTTTTCGACGTCCACCTCATGACGCGTGTCAAGAAGATGCCTGGCGATGGCACTGCCTAAAGCATTTGTTCCCTTTAGACGTAAGCTTTTTGGTACATGTTCAGAAAATCGTAGATATGCCCTTCTTTCTGTTCTTCCAATGTAACTGCTCCCGCAGATACATGCAAATTTGTATATACAGTTGGAGTTAACATGAGAAGGATATCTATCCATTTTTGATTGCACCAAAGAGCAAGTTGTTCGAAAGACGGGAACGAGCTAAGCTGCAGGATAGGCTATGGCTAGTGATGTGCTCAGCCTTCTGTTGATCATCGCTGAAAAGATCTTTGGCTATAAGTAGTAACGTCTTGAAAACTGAGTTGCATAAATCACGTGTGATGAGACTTTCTTTTTGTCATCAGATCACTGCAAAATTGAGAAAAACTTTTGATGGTTATGTGTGTTGCACATAAGTTTATAAGTTGAAGGTGTAGTCATTTTCATCAGTTATGACTTCATCTAGCGACAGAATTCTCTAAACTTACAAATCACTGTCAATTCTAGTGACATAGGACTGTCTTTCAGTATGTCGGACTCATCAGGATAAAGCAGTTAAAGCAGTAAAAACATTTCAAGACTGGCGAAACTTAAAACATAACTGCATGACGGTATGCATCATTGGTTCATACAAGTAGGTAATGCATAGACCAGTTGAATATTTCGCTATTTGGAGATAAACTCTGGTGTCTCCTCATTTGCGGATAAATCTTTCGCCTTTTACTAAAGATTTCCGTGGGGAGGCACAATACAATGAGTCTTACCTAATTTTTTTCAGCTCTGTCTTCGGACAGAGTATTTTAGTGCGTCGGTGGCTCAGTGGTTAGGACTCTCGCCGACCATGCACATGGTCCGGGGTTCGAACCCCTTCCGATGCACACCCGATATCTATGGTCGGCCTGCAAAATTCGGGCTACCGATATCCATGCTGAGAATTCCATACTTGTACTTAAAATACGGTGTGGCATTAAGCTGTAATCAAAATAAAAAATCAATAAATATGGTTTGGATTTCAAAGCAAACCGTGTAGTTTTCATTTCCCAGACTTGCAACTGAAAGCGGTTGTTAGAAATTCAATTTGAAAGTCGAAAAACATACGTAGAGTACTTTTACTACCCTTTAAATACAATATACCTGATTAATCATGATTCTTTATTTTGTTGCACTTGCATTATAATGTTAGGGTAAGTCGTAGAAATATTCTTTCGACTGTACTATATATTTTGCTACTGAAATGAGTATAAATAGTACAAAAGTAATGAAAAAATAGCTACTAACATCATTTCCAGTTCGACAGGAAACAAATTCTGCTGATTAATTTAACCTATCCTATCTGGAACAGTGTTAATTTCTTCAGTGCACCTGATTACACATACACGTCAAATGAATGGATAAAACTTACAGTAGAAAAGCTTATTCCAGCACTTTTATGTGATAAAAAGTATTCTAGAAATGCATGCTCCGAACTGATATAAACACCTGGAGTACAATTATTAAGGTATAATTCAAACCAGCATCGGTGGCACAGTGGTAAAATGCCCTCTGACCAAGCACGTGGTCTAGTATTCGATCCTCAACCGACACACTCCTTTACTTCGCTAAGTCAGTAAGAAAACTGATAAAGAGGGGAGGTTGGGCATGAGACTAGCAACTCCATCCCGTGAAAATAAACGCCACTGCTACCGAAACTTCAAGGCTCTAGCTTGAAGCCCAGTGTTCTACTGAGAAAGTAAAAGGAACAAAAAATTCCAGCCAGCTGGTTAACCATCTACTTCTGTCTTTTGGAAATTCTATGGAATGCCACATTTACGGTCACACTAATGACATTAGCAAACATTTACACTGACTTTTTGGCTTTGACACTAGTAACTAGTGTGATGCGTCTAGTCCTCTCTTTGGTGCAGACTGAATTCTGTCAGGTTGTAATGTGGTCAGTAATAACGTCTCTGACTGCAGCACTGGGTGACGCGGGTTCGAATCTCAGAAGGGACATGAGTTCCTTCAATGTTGCGGATACGCCTTGCTGACGAGTGCCAACTAGCACGATACCTAGGTCCACGGCTTCCTGCCGGTTGCCTCCGACCATCTAATAACACTGACTTTTATTTGACACCCTACCTTTTGAGAATGCTGTTGAGCAGCAATATCAGTAATGCTCTAGCCAATTTATTAAGGATAACAGAATGCCATTCCTATGCATAATAACTATATAAACACATATAAGACTATGAACCACACTCGATGAGTGGGAATTTATGGTATCAATGTGTTGTCTAAACCAAATAAGGTATAGTGATGTAGCCGTTAACGACCACACAGGATGTAATACATACAAAGGAAGGAATCGAAAACCACAGAGAGATGGCCAGCATTCTGTATATCAGTGAATCCAGTTAGCTAACCTATAGTGTCGTCTGTTTAGTAGTATCTATAATGTGCATGTTTTTGTTCATAGGAGAATTTTTTTAAAGGTAATTTAAAGTTATTTAACTACTTTGCAAATCCTTTCTTGTTCGTCATTATAGATCGTGAAGAATGAGACGCTGATTTCCTGTTGGTATCTATTTAATGACTATATGAACTTAGTTCTCATCTTATATATCCATACATTTTGAAAAAAATTGCAATAGTAAGCCAGTATTTATTTGGCTAACATTTAGTTTTATCTGACTATACTACTGATATAGCTACTGATTTAATTTAACCTATTATTATTATTATTACAATTGTGCTTTATATATTCTCTGTAAATTTTTGCTGTTATTATTTTCGTCGTTGACAATGCTTCAGAAACAATACCATTGCAATCTTTTCTTCACTTTCTCTTCTTCCTTTTCGGAAATCTCATTTCACACTCATGTTTTAATTTACAACAACTATTGCATAACTGTTTTTTGCATATTTCGTGCTTTTCTACATACAACAGCGATTCGCTAACATTATATTACCAGTTTAGCAGAACTCATTGTACGCCTGTTTTCGTAAAATAAAGTTTTCTTATAAGTATTGGTTACCCAATAAGCATATATATAGTCAGTTAGTCTGATTAACCTAAAGTTGTATGGCATGAATGACATTCAGTTTTGAGTGTAAGTCAAAATTACAATAGAAAATTAGCTGAAAACTGTACTCAAATAAAAGGAGTTGAATAAAGTAGCTACAGCAGCGCGGACTATGAAATTTACAAAGGCGATTACAATGAAATTCGACAATGACCCCACTTGTAACGTAAGACACTAAGAACCGACTACTTTGCAGCTGAAGACAATAGAATTAACACTTAGCGACTCTCAACAGATAGTATTATAAGTGTTCAAGTCTGAAATTATATCGCTTTCTGTCTTTGATTCTAAACTGTTCAGTAGTGAAATCAGCGACCTTACAACTAACATGTTTGGGTCAGAAATAACCCCCTTTGTAAGACCATTTGATAAGGTTACTTAGAGGCAGCAATGTTTCTTATCTGAAAACTTATTTCTGCTCCCATTATAATTCGGCTTCCAGTTCATGTACACTGGGAATAAGTCACATCTCGATAAAATAAGCTTTAAGCATATAAGAGCTCAAACTCTTTGATGACAAAACCCATGATGACATAAAATTTCACTTGCTGTAGTTACGATAAAATACGTGTAAATATATATATATATATATGAGAGAACAACAAACACTGTAAGCTTATTCATGGTTGAGGAGGTTTCAGACACGCCTCTAGTTCCTCACAAAAACTACGAATTTAGTCATGTGAACATATGCTTAATAACTTATCATGATATGAACGCTTTTAAAGAGAGTTCTTAGTGATAAAAGTTTTCTACGTATCTCAATTAATGAGAAATACAACTGTTGGGTCCTTGCAATATATATAGTTACATCACAGCTCAACTTTGCAGAGTAGGCAGTAGGTTATGACAATATTCTTATCCTGATAACAGAGGTCAAAGATCTAACTGTTATATTGCCTAACTTGTCTCCAATATACCCCATTTTCTTAAATATTTTGTTAGAATAACTTGCTCGGATTTTTAAAAAATTTTAAGTTGGAAGATTTCATCATGAGCTGAGATCATTTAGACAACCACTGGAAAACTTGCAGGGAATACTGCTCAGCTGTTCAGCTCTAATTCGGGAATCTTCAGCAGTACGCACCCAGCTTCAGGGTTCAACCTTCTAGTCGTAGACCATTAAGCCATTAGGACACGATCCAATGGCGAACCCATGAATTCCAGCTACTGATAACTCATGACATAGCGCATTCACTTAGCAATGTCTTCTTCCATGAGTTACTGCCTCACCTTCAACCTGCTGTATTCTACTGGTCACAACTACCCACTAGAACCCCAGTTAACTGCCTGAATATGGCCAGTCACTAGTGTGCATCAAATTAATTTTCAAGCACCGATTTTTGTTGGGATTTGTTTGATAAGTTAGAGGATTTCATCATGAAACAGCTGTCCAGTACTCCCCTCAGGTTTTCCAATGGTTCTCTAACTGATGTCAGCTCATAATGAAATCCTCCAACCAATCAAACAAAGTCCCTACAAAAACCAATACTTGAAAATTCCAAAGTTCTTGAAAGTCTGACATTACTATGATTATTGTTCATTTTAGAAAATAAAATTAAAAACTGTTATAATTTCCCAGCCATTATGATCCTACTATATTTCCATCCAATCCTCCTGTTTATTACACTTTGTAGTTTTATTAATTACACCCTTGACAGGAAATAGTTCTGGAACTTTCTCACCTGTTTACTATTAATACACGAATGTACAGGCCAGCTGACGACTTCATCGAAAAAAATTTCATTCATTGCAACCAACCTTTTAATATTTTCTCACTACTTAAATCTCCAGCTTGATTTTTTCAGAAATCTTCTTACATTTTTAAAATGCAAAAAGGAGATTTACTTTTCAGATTCCTTTTAAATCTTGATGACTACTCATACTGTTAACTAGATCACTTTTTTAGAAGGATCTGTTTAACTGAATACATTTTGGCGTCACTGTTCAGTTCCCTTCTGAACAAGAATAATTAGATCAAACAATTTTTTCAATAAATCTTTCGTCAAACTCTGCAATTATAAACTCATTAATCTAAGCATATAATAACCTGTAAAGGTAAATTCGAATTAAATCAGAAAGTCACAGCATTTTTCATCATGAGCTGACATTAGTTAGAGAACCATTGGAAAACCTGAAGGAAGTACTGGACAGCTGTTTTGTCCTAGTTTGGGACTCTTCATCAGTACGCACCCATCGGAATTCGAACTCAGGACATTCTGGTTACAAGACGAGCTGGCTCGTATACCATTAAGCCACTGGGACCCGATCCAATGGCCAGCCCATGAATTCCAACTTCTGCCAATTCACGATATAGCGCGACCCCTAGCCAATGTCTTCGGCGAGTATTTGTCCTCATATCCGACCTGCTGCACCCTACTGGTCACGACTTCTCACTAGAACCCCAGGTAACTACCTACCTGAATAGGGAAAGTCGCTAGCGAGCATCTCATTGATATTCAAGTTTTCGTTTGTAGGGATTTTGCAGAAGTTAGAATTCATGGGCCATTGGATCGGGTCCCAGTGGCTTAATGGTATACGAGCTTGCCTTGTAACCAGAAGGTCCCGGGTTCGACTCCCGATGGGTGCGTACTGATGAAGAGTCACAAACTAGGACGAAACAGCTGTCCAGTACTCCCTACAGGTTTTCCAATGGTTCTCTAACTAATGTCAGCTCATGATGAAAAATCCTGCAACCAATCAAATCCCTACAAACCAACACTTGAAAATCAGAAAGTCTTTTGTGTCTAACTACAAGGTGGAATAACAGTCAGAGAGGTTTGATCATCATTTCAATCCGTATAAAATGTACAGCCAATAAGAACAAGAGAGAAGAAGAAGTGAAACAATTCGGTGAATTTAATTAGTGGATAGTGACTAGCAGTGGAATTCAGCATGCGGATTTCCTCCTATGTGGGATTTGTCATCAGGATGTACCTGCACTCCCCAGTGAGTGATGATGTTCCCGTCGAGCGCTTCAGTCCAACCAATAGATGGGAAAATCTAAATTGAATTCAATAATTTAAATGATTCGTTGCAAAAGAGGTGGCTCTCGTGGGCCAAGTGGTCTGGTGGATAACGCTATGGCGTTTGAAACTACGGGCACTGGTTTTAAGACTCGGTGGGGACACTAGCACTCACTGGGGAGTGCACGTACATCCCGCTGATGAGTCTCAAAAAGAGACAGAATGAGCATCCTTAGTTCCACCGCTAGTCACCATCCACCAGTTAACTTCTCATTGCATGCCCAGACATCGTCGAAGGATCTGCATAAGAAGCCGACATGTCAACCTGAGACCGAGCACTTCAGTCCAATCAACCGACGGAGAAATCTAAAACTGAATTAAATTCAATGAAGTGTTTGTATGTATTTAATCTCAACAAAAGGTACGAGTTTCGAGGGTGAGTTTAGTCGGAGGTGTGAGAAACAATTTGGATATTACAGATTAATGAACCAACAAATTGCATACGATAAATTCAAGTTCAGAAGTGACAAAAACAATAATAATGATGGTGAAATAACAACGATTGCGTAGTGTAAGCTAAAAGTAGTATTAGCGAACGGTTATAAATTACTAATGAATCTAAGTACGTGGATTTAGAAAGATTGTTTAATTACAATAACAAGTTCGACATTCATTACATAGACAAATGGTAATAGACACAATAAGGAAGGTTATGAAGTCATAAAATGTGTGAAATAAGCGTTTGTCAATAAAACCAAATCAAAACTGAAAAAGTGGAACTAGAATTTAAACTATTAAATTAAGGAGATTTACCTTATTGTAGACCGAGGTAAACAAGGTGGCTTGACATACGTCTTCTGGATGCAGAGACTAGGTCTTCTGACACTGAATGATTCCGCTTCCGCTACTGATAGAAGACATAGTCGAGCTCTGATAGACAGATTACTGGGAAAATAATCGATCATCGAGAATGTCTGCTTAGGTTTCACTAAATATCTAGTATCTTCACAAATTTACTCGCCTTATGAATTTGAATAAAGCAAGAACAACACTTTGTGCGGAATAAGACGGTATCGTCGTTTATTCCCTTAGCTTATCATCAGCTGCGTACAGCCTAAAGAAATTATTAAGTTTATGAACAGAGCAATTTCAACATACTTGCAAATGTCACATGATATCATGTGACAAGAAGCTCCAAAACTAACAACCAACATTCAGAAACTACTCTTGTTACACAAAGTAACGAAGTGTAAAGATAAATAAATGTTTATATAGACTGGTGAAGGAGTTATGTAATAGACCGAAGAGGTTCCAGTATCTACTAAACAGGCACTGATTACGCTTTTAATTTCCACTTCACTCAACCATACAAGTACATATTCACGTGTAAGCACGAATAAATCACTCTGAGTACAGCTTATGTAACAAGCTATACAGGAGCAGTTGAACTCATATTGGCGAGGCCATCATTGGTAATTTAACACCTTGACTTGCTGTATGAGTACTGGTTTAGTTGAAAAATTGGGTACCAGTTTGCCTGCAGGGTACCCGACCTGATCAACACGCCTGAACAAATGTCTTCAGTTACATCAGAAAAACCGATTCCTCAAATTATTCTAAAACAGTGGCACATACAATAACCTCCATTTGGTATTCGACCGTGAGGTGAGCAAATTTAAGATGACCTACAAGAAGCTCTACTAGTTTAATGAACTAACAAAAGACCAATGTCTAACAATTCCGGAGGATACATTAGTTAGAAAGAGTCCGAAAAATAAAATAAGTAAATTAGTCAGACTGAAAACAATAGGGTTCTTACCATGGTAATAGAAGTGCGTGAAAGATCTCCCTCTCAGTGTACAGTTTCGGTCTCTCCATATGGATACTCAGAGATTCAACAGTACAAAAGAAACTAAGGCCGGTCATATTACTGGGGTTACTTTCCCCTATGCAGATCACCTCGAAGGAGATAG